TTAAAATCTAATTCTACTGGACTATAGAGGACAATCAACCCGTGAGAAAACCATACCCGGTCACCCCTAGATATATTAGTTCGCTTAAACTTACCTTCATTGACTTTCTCACAGTGTGTCCTGCGCTTTCCTTTGCATGCGTTGTAAATGGACGCTTTTCCCGTTTCCATTGCCACATCTTTTGTAGAGATAAGGTTTTACATATTACAGTAACTAACTAGAAATAAGGAACAACAATATTGTTAAATTGCATTCCCAAAAATGGCATTGCACCAGTGTCTCGACAAAGTGTTGCCAGGCTGAAACCTGAAGCGATATTTTTTTTATATCTATACCGTACTTTGGAATAAGGCTTACCAACTTACGAATGGTCAGAGAAGTATCCAGATCGTCTGCAACGCCTCGTTCCACAAGTCTACAGGGTAAGGCCATAGACTACTTAATAACTTATTGTAAAGCGTTTAGCAGAAACTATGAATATAATGAGTTTTCTTTTCAATAATCTGAAATTATAATCACTTAATAATGATCTCCCTTAATTGCAAAAGGGATATGTAATGTGCCTCGAAAAATTAGACATAAAAAACATCGCCAAAAGTGTGGAGTGTGAATCGAGGGTCCACAATTTCCAGCGATCAACCCATTGGATACGGTTTCCGGTCTCGATTAAGAGCGTTTACGCCGTTTGGCGCAAAAACAGTACTTTTTCAACTCGTTACAATCATTAACCAGTAATACTACAAATATGTTATAGGCATAAATAGTTAGGCAATTTCGTCGTCTAAATAGTTAATTGAGAAAATATTGCGATTAGTTTAGTATTCAAGAATTATATCAAGATAAGTCCACACAGGTTTTGTAAATTTCCACTTTAGCGTCAGTTTACAAGCTGAAATTTTTATAAAAATACTGTGAAAACGATTTAACAAACATTTATATCCTATAGCATAGATCCTTGGGCAAATAGTTATCTGAGAAAATTTTTAGATTTAAGCATTTTACAATAAGAAATCACAAATTAAAAAAACGTGAAATACCCAAAAATCAAAGTGATTTTTTCGTACTCGTGATTTGTAAAGTAGTTTACCGTAACTATGTAAACCCTAATGTAAATAAATAAATACAAATCAAACGAGCCTCAACTCGATGGAGTCGTTTTATTCCGGAGTTCCTATGGGGTCACTGACTTTCCAGCTCTATCATCAGATCAGCTCCATGTCATCATAATATTGCATTGTCATCCGAATTGCATGTGTATCCGAAATTTTAACTCAATCGGTTGTCGTCAGGAAATGGGTCTAACTAATTCAGCTTGCAAAATTCCACCCGAACAAACATACTTTACACACAACATACATTGTAAGCTAAATAAAATAAAATAAAAAATATTATCCCATACAAAATGTTCATGGATTTGTAATTTTTGTTAAATATAAATACCTTACTATACGGTGCGCTAGTTTAGAACATTTCGGGCGATCACTTGCGCCTGGGTTGAATGACATCGAAATCAAGGTTCATCAATTCAAGTTTAAAATAATAGGCAGTAATGTATGAAGAAAGAGCTTCTATTCTGTACCTACCTATGCCCGTGTATTTTTGATCGGTGTCAAATCGGAGTTTTCGTGCGGGGTGCGCGGGTGTTGTGCGAAGCGTGAAGGTCAAACGCTCAAGGTCATTGAGGACTCTAATCGCCTTAAGCAGCAAAACTTACCTACTCACAGCGTTGAATAGAGCTCTGTGATTGGCTCGTGTGTCACCCTGTGCGTCCACGCGCACTGTGAGACCTCATAGTAATGTTTGTGAATACGGGCGTAAGGCCCGATACGACCAAACTTTTATCCGAGAATAACTCTTGATGTAACTGGCACATTGACAGTTTCACAGGAGTGAGGAGGTGCATTACAGAATTATCTGAATTTTCTCTTTCATACAATGCTAACTCATTTCCATACCCTCATAACTCATATCCACAGCGATTCTTCAAACGTTTACACATTTGTAACGGTCGTTTGTCGATCCTGAAACAAAACGACCTTGCACACTGGTTGAGCAATTACCACTATCTGTCATGTATAGTCCACAATGGCGGACAAATTGCGCCCGTCCGCTGACCGCTTAGGTACAGTTAAAGTCAACGTGATACTATCACTCACTCAGATATCAAATACGGGATATCACGGGACATATCGACATTTATGTATCAAGAATCGGAACCGGAATGTTTAACGAAGACAGTGTGAAAGGATAGAGGCGGGGTTTAAAAATGACAACGCATTGATCAGTGTTTTTGAGTATTATTTGAGAAGAAAACCTTTGACGTGCCAAAATAGTTAAAACTAGAAAATACTCAAGCCGTATCATACGCTAGTTTCCCAACTACCTTTACCTACATTTGACACTTCTTGGGAGTTTGAAGCACGTATCCTCACGCTATTACGTTACCGTACTTACCCACTGTTGAAGCCTCAAGTAGTATTAAGTACTATTAAGTAATCCTCAAGGGAGCAGAGATGGGCAAAACTTTTAGCATCAATTCTGAACTCGAGTAAAAACAACTCATTTCGTCATTCCGAGGGAGCGAGAGGAGCTGTGCTATTTTTTATTTTTATGTGACTACTACGATTATAAAACACTGATATTTGAAAAACATCAATTTTCTAATCAAACTAATCCATCCCACTGCCACATCACGTCTCATATCATCATCATCAATATTTCAGCTACAGGACGTCCACTGCTGAACATAGGCCTCCCCTAATAATTTCCATATTTCTCTATTGGTAGAGGCCTGTATCCAACGCCTGATTTAAGTACACGTCTCATATACGTACACAATAATATGAATTAAATACTGCACATACGAGGGCGGCACTGAAAATTTCGGGAATCAAGGAAGTGAAACAACATTACTATTTAAAAATGTATTTATTGCTTTTTAAAGTATTCTCCGCGAAATTTGACACATTTTTCCATACACGAAACCAATCATTGAAGCAACCATTGCATTCGGAAGTTTGGGTCTCCAAAATGGCCGTTTTGTAGGCTTCCACAGCTTCTTCAGGTGATGAAAATCTCTGACCACGCAATTTATTCTTTATTTTAGGGAAAGTATAGAAATCATTAGGGCTTAGGTCGGGGCTGTACGGCGGATGGACTAATAATTCTATGTTTTCTTGCTCTAAAAACTCTTTTGTTCAGTGCGCGGTGTGAGAACTCGCATTGTCGTGATGGAGGATGATGCGGCGGTTGCAGTTCTCTTTACGGAGTTCAGAAACGACCTGTGGCAAACAAATGCTAGCATACTAATCTGCATTAACCGTTCTTTGTCCCCCAAGAGGAATAGTCGCAACATGGCCGGTTTTGGAGACAAACGTGGCCACCATTTTTTTTGCAACACTCCGTGAACGAACAATTTTTGTTGGCTTTAATTCATTTTCGAACACCCAAACTCGTGACTGGTTTTTTGTTTCGGGTTCGTACGCGTATATCCATGATTCGTCACCTGATACGATGTTGTATACAGCATTTGAGGATCCTGCATGTAATCTCCCGAGAGTTCTGACGCACCAAGTAACGCGAGCCGCTTTTTGCTCTTCACAGAGCGAATGCGGTATCCATCGGGAAAACAACTTTTTTACACCTAATTGTTCATGCAAGATTATTTGTATTTGACTCATGCCAATGTCTAAAGTTGCCTGAATTTCGCGGTATATCACATGTCGATCTTCTTCAATCAGCTTACGCACAGCATCAACGTTTTCTTAGGTGACTGCAGTTTTTGGACGACCTTGACGGGGATCATCACTGAGCTTGACACGTCCACGTTGAAATTCAGGAAACCAGCGATAAATTGTGGTTTTGGATGGGGCTTCATTACCAAATGCAGAAATCATCCGGTCAACACACTGTTTTTGTGTTAAACCACTTCAAAAGTCATAATAAATCATCGCTCTTGAATTTTCTCGAGTCAATTCCATTTTCTCAACGACTAAACAAGTTTGACAAGATCTTGTGATACGACCGAGAATCTTTTTTAAAATAAATAAATGGTATACGATTTTTAAAACCCTGGAGTTTGAAATTAAATAGATTTTAATATGACTGGAACAGTGGAAATATTACATTCCCGATACTTTTAGTGCAGCCCTCGTAGTCAGAAATTACCGAAAAATAGGCTGGATACTTTTTCCGCGCGACACTGGCCACCAAGAAAAACTTAACTCCTTTTTCGTCGACGAATACAACGATACTCATTTGTTTTTCTCACGCCTCGACCGTCGATTTTTCATATCGCACGACTTAAATTGTAATTTAATTTAAATAATTATGTTCACGTTTTTACGTTGGTTTTAATAAATCTAGTATTTATGTCTACGAAAGTACGAAGCATACTTTCTCACAAGATTTAGGCAGGTCCATCGAGCTGAGAATTAGGTAAGAAAAGTTGTGTGTTACTAAAATAACTGAAGTTGTAGTTAGGTATAATTTGTAGTTTGTAGCTAGATAATTAGTGTGCTATTATTTACTTTTTTGTAACAATAATTTGGTTCTTCCTCATTAAATGCAGGAAGCGTGGTCACCTCACCTTTTCATTGTTTGATGTGAATTTCAATTCACTAAAAGCCACTTTAGTAACGGGGTTCTGACTGCTGATGTTCGGTTTCTAGGTCGCGCATCAAAAGGTTTTATTCTTTCATTTTAATGAGTTCACATGTTTGGAGCTTTTTGATTGAAGGTCTGACGAGTAATTGATTAATGATTTATGATAGACGTTTTTCTGTTTCAAACCAACATTGTTCTATGTATTTTCTCTTGTATTGTAGGCTCATTTATTTTTATTCCTAATACCCGAAGAACATATTTTCTCCTTTAAAAATAATAAAGGCTGCACATATGGTCTCTTTCTGTCTTGAAGATTATAGTGAGTTCCGTTCCCTAAATAAGTAAACGGCTTCATTGCATTTCTTCTCTAACAAATATCTTTTTCTTCTTTACAGAGCAGCGCACCAATGTGGGAGGAGTTCATATCGAAGGCGACGAAGCTGCACTCGGCGTTGAAGTAAGTTAATATATATTTATTCATCATCATCATCTCAGCCATAGGACGTCCACTGCTGAACATAGGCCTCCCCCAATGCTTTCCATGTTGCCCGGTTGGTAGCGGAATGCGTCCAGCACCTTCCTGCTACCTTTACGATGTGTACAGTATTGTGGAAAATAATCAACAATCTTAATATTGAGTATTAACTTCAAAAACCAGTTATAACTGGTCCACTTAAAAAAATGGAAGCCAATATTGTCCATCGACAACAATGTCAGGTCAACGAGTCCCGAATTCGCGATCGTTCGGCGACCAGCGCCAATTTGATGCTATTGACTCGACGATCGTACAGTCAAGTGCAGTGAAAACGTACACAGCAATTTTCGTCCTCTGGTTTGGATTGGCAAAAGCCTTTGAAAACTTTTTTTGTTTGGATTGACAGTGGTCTAAAATTTTAAAAAATACCTTCCTAACTATTGAATCCGAGTTTTAACATCCTGTCTTAGACAAAATAATTGAGGCTCATATTATCCTACTCCTACTAATATTATAAATGCGAAAGTTTGTGTGGATGTCTGGATGTTTGTTACTCTTTCACGCAAAAACTACTGAACGGATTTTGATGAAACTTACAGTATTATTTTTTATAACCCAGAATAACATATATTCTATAATTTATGACGATCTGTGACAAACTAAATTTCACGCGGGTGAAGCTGCGGGCAAAAGCTAGTACATCATACATCTATCATCTTTTTTTCGTCACTTCTGTTGTTGCCGAGTGTTCGGATAAACTCTTTTTGTCGAGTAATGCCCAGTAATTAGCTTGTTAGAGCATGATTTGAATAATGGGCGCTGGATTACATCACTTACAAAAAAGAGAGCTGTAAAAATACTTCAAAAAATCTCACTTACATAGTTACCGAGATGCAAAAGAAAGATAAAAACTGTTTTTGCTCGTGAGTGTACTAACCCTTTCAGCACGAGAGAAAAATTTGACGATTTCTAAAAAATCGCGTTAGTTTCTGGGGTCTTCAGAATCTTAGTAAATAGAGAAAAATAGCGAAAAAATGTAGGGGGTGACTTTAACCCCCCTAAACCCCCCCGCACGATCGTATCAATCCGTCATGAACCTACGAATAGCTATTTCATTACAATTACAATTTAAAATAATTAAAAAAAGACATTTTAGATATAAGGAGCTTTATTATTCTTCATAAAGACATGATATCGTAATTAGATACTAATTTCTGCAAAAAAATTCAAAAATAGCTCATGGTCCTAACCTAGAACTCTGTCAAAACCTGAATTTTGGGGGTAGTAGCATCATAAAATTGAACATGAGCTTTCGTTTTTAGTAATAACTTATTTTTTTTTAATCCCAGATGTCAGGGTATTATTCAATAACACATGGGGTTAGATATTTTCATAAAAGGGATCATTTTGGTTCATCTATTGGTACTAGAATCCTGGTATCCTCTCGATATTTTCACTGGTGGCTGTATTTTCTACAGCGGATTTGTACTATTTGGTGGTAATGTGTCTCGGAGACATTCTTGAGTTTATTCTAGAGTAAATCTGATGTTCAGGTCTTTAAAAGATTCGAAAGGTTTCCATTACTTACATTACCAAAAATTTAAACATCGTCCCGACATGCACGCTCATGCTGTAGAACTTTAGGAGTACCTGGTACTCGGATTCATCTAACTTTTTATAAAATTAAAGCGAATTATATTTTTTAAGGATATAATTTAAATTAATACGCACAAAATTCATTGAAATCCACAAAAGAGGTAATTTAAATAAATTAATACTTTTCACGCCTCCCGTAGTCAGGTACACGTCCATCTTTGTCACTCAACACTGCACCGACTGAACGCCATTGAAAGTTTTTGTATGAAAAATAGCAAATATATCGAACCGTACGATCGATCGGAAGAGTCTTGGCGCGGTAAAATTGATTTACCAATTCACTAGATTTTTTCAAAGTCGAACGCACTTTCGTATTATTCTGTGCTGAAAGGGCTAAAATCGTATGGCTTGATAGCAGTTCATTATGATGTCTCTCCAACAATTTCAGGCACACTATTAATTTAACTTATGACAATAAATAATTGTTATTGTAAACCAGTATCAATCTGCTTGATTAAAATCGGTCACCTCTGTTTTCGTGGTTCATTATGAGAAGTAGTGCTATGATATCACTGATCACCATCTTGTTTACTCGTATACTGCTACATATAATACTTAAATCTTTTGATTGTGTCGTGGTAAACCAATTTCCAAGTATCGTATGTCTAATACAAAGGGACGACAGCACATCAGACTAAATAATCCATATTACAACTACATAAAATACTGTACTAAAATCTCACAATGCTTAACTTGACTTGCCGTCGTCTGCACATAGTAAATAGAAAATCTTCTAGTGACTTGGCCCACTTTTAGCTTGGCCTACAGGCCAAGTCGTCAGATTTAATTTTCAAATATATTTTCTTCCAGTAACTGGGCTTACTGGGCCCACCTTCAATGTTTTATTAATAAATTAAACACCAATTCAACAAAAATATACTCTATAATCGTATTGGGCCCAGTTGCTGGAAGAAAAAATATTTAAAAATCAGGGTTCGAGGATATATATCAAGGGATATATATCAAGATATATATCGGATATATATCCGATATATATCTAGCCGGTTTTGATGATATATATCAACTTTTAAAATTTGTTACTGTATTTGTACTTTTTGACATAAGATTTTTATTTTTTTAGTTGATTTTGCCGTAAATAACAGAATATTTTATGTTTTTGCTTTATTTGTCTGATTTTAAGTTTAAAAACATTAAAAATATGTTTATGTAACACATATGCAATAGTATTCATGAATAATACAATAAAATAATACTATGGCTTTCATACAAAATTGATATATATCAAAGTTGATATATATCGGATATATATCATAAATATCCGATATTTTGATATTTATAATAAATATCGGATATTTTCGAACCCTGTTAAAAATGCAATCCAGTGACTTGGCCCGTGGATCAAGCTGAAAGTGGGCCATGTCACTGGAAGACTAAAAGGATAGTGACAAAAAATACATACAGCCGAACATATAACCTCCTCCTTTTATGAAGTTGGTTAAAAAGGAAACGATATGACGTAAGCTTCAATATTTCAGATCGGCGCTGAGCGCGATAGCATCGTTCCTGGACGCCTTCCAGAAGATTGCAGACGCGGCGACCAACGCTAGAGGTGAGTTTTTGCTGTTCTATTCCGTTCAGGCGCTTCGTCGAACTTTTTGAACTCGTATTTGCTTGCAGCGTTCTTAAATCCCCGCAGATTACAGATTTTTTGTCGGCCGATAGCCTTCTAGTTTGTGTGAGGAATCGGCCAGTACCAAAATGGTGTAATGTTGTACTTTCATACTTATCCATATTGATTAATAGCCTTTTAGCGCTATAATGTAATGTTTACGGTTAATTGCGGTACTGTTGCATTAAACACGCTTATTATAACTACGAGTATTATCTGTAATAAAACATTTTCATACCTATCTAATTACTACAGCTCCTTAAAGTTCAACAACCGTTTATTTCTGCAAGTAGCTAACGAAGTTATAAACGCAAGCAGTAAGTACCTGTCAAACCCTACTCAAAACACTGCAGAAACTTATAATTATAAAATATAGTATATTATTTTTATTTCCATGATGAAATTTAGGTTTCCAACCTTCAGACGGTACGTCCACTTAGTCTGGAGAACGTAACGCATCAATGATAAAAAATAACTTTCTATACAAAGCCTTTATTAAAATTACTATTATTATTACAATTATATTAGTGCTTACATTATTATTCACCAGTCTACATTCTTGAGCATTAAATATTAGTAAATTAAGAACGATTCGAAACATAGCAAGATCATTTTGATTAAAAGAAAGAAGAAAGTTTTAAAGAGTTTGAAGAATTTTCATAAAATTGGGAGACAATTCAGAATCTTAAATATCTATAAACTTTGATCAATTCAATAATTACCTACTATTTCAATCAGTCAGTCAACGTGTGCTGCAACTCGCAATTTGAGATGAATTCATATTAATAATAAATGTCTTTTAATAAACGGCAACTCCAATATTAGATAAAACTGTCACGACGCAATTGATATTTAGTACGAATTGATCACAAATATCACAAAATCTCATTTTAAGCAAATTTCCAAAGGCCAAGATATTTGTCTTTCTCAGAAGCATTTGATAAAGTATTTCAAGGGTAAATGTTTTCCCTTATCCAGTCGACGTACGCGTAAACTTTGGTGTATACGCCAGGGGCGTCTTCCTTGCCACATGGAGACGGTCCGAAGCTGACTACTCCAAGCATATCGTATAGCTTTTCATTTTCGAACATAAGGGGGCCCCCGGAGTCACCCCTGCAGGAGTCCTTTCCGGCTTCACCTCCCGCGCACAATTGGCCATTCCATAAATCTGCTTTGAGTCCTGGTTTGACGTAGGATGGTTGGCATTCCTGTAATCATATCGATATAAGATTTATTAGCAAAATAATATTGAGTTTTTTCTGTCTAATTTTTTATGGGACAGGAGGCAAACGAAAAGACGGATCACCTGATGGTAAATGATTACCGTCGCCCATAGACACCCGCAAGCCCGAGAGCGTTACTGGCGCGTTGCCTGGATGTAAGATACTATAAATACGCTCTCTTCTTGTCACCATTACATCTTCAATTTTCCACCGAGTGGGAGGCCTCCCTATACTACGTTTTCCGGTCCGTGGCCGCCACTTCTCGCGTTATTAAAAACACCAAAACTTACCCTCTGGCTCACAAATGGTAAATCGACGTGAAGCTTGATTGAGCTCTTCTTGACGGTACTGTTGATGGCGCCCCAACCGGCCGCCCACAGCTTGAAGTTGGGCGGCGGCGTCACCGTGATGTCGACCACTGGCAGGCAGATGGGTCTGATGAAGTCTGAAAGTCAAGTCAATCTTTTTAACATCTCACTGGAAGACGAAAATCCATTATTTCCATCTTAGGTTTATATTTATAAGTAAGTTTTAGCTTCTTTCTTTTAAAATCGTTAAACTGATGATGATACAACCAAACGAATCACAATGGTCAATCAGCGAACAACAATTATGTTTATTGCGAGCATTAAATACCTTAATTATTACACGTTCAGTCAAACGTTCTCATTTTTGATGGAGTGAAGTTGAGTGGTGTACATATCTTCCACATCTCTTGATATTCAATCAAGATTTTTTAACACAGTAATTCCATATAATTAGTAAATATTAACACGGTTTTGAAATAGTACCTGTGTAAGGAGCAGCCCGTTGTGTCCGAATAAGGCCGATGTCGTTACGCTTTGTGATAGGGTTGTATTCGGGGTGTGGTATGGACTTCTCGATGGGAAGGACGACGATACCCTCGGTACAGTCCTCGCCACCTCCCTCCACGAGTATACAGTCGGGCCCGGTGTGGCTCGAGTCGTATTCTCCGAGACGAACGTTCTTTCTGAAATTGAAGAATGCTATGTAATTGTAAATAGTGGTTTTATTAAGAAAGAAAAGAGTTATTTTTAGATTAAAAAAAAGTTGTTTGAAGAAAAGCTTTATAAAGGTGTTTGTAATAGTAACATTATTTTTTCAGACGACAATCTGTGGTTGGAAATGGTCGCCCTTCGGAATAAAACTAATACCTATTACCTGCCAGTTATTTTTGAATTCAATATCCTAGGATTGAATATAACCCTAACTGTTAAAATTATGACAAAACTATTTTAGTTTCATAGGAAATGAGTCAAAACTAGATTCTAACTCACAAATATGGTTTGCGGCTTTTAATATTGGTTCAGTATTGAGTATCCCAGATCTTCTGTTGACTGTTCGAACATTAATGTTTTGTACTAAAATACAACTTACGGCGTGCCATTTTTGAGGATACTCCCGGTGATACAATGAGCAGCAGTGAGGACGTATCTGCTGCTGATGAGCGCTCCGCCACAAAGCAGCGCGATGCTGTTGTCCGACCTCGCGTATTCGATGAGCGTCAGCCACGGGTACTGATCTACATTTGTTGCAGAACCCCCTGGAAGTAAAACCATCTTGTTAATTTCAGTGATAAATTCAACCAATTAAATTTACTAAATGTTCCAATGGGAAAAATGCTTGAACAGTTGCACAACGAGAATTTGAGTAGTGGACTAGGCTGGTTTTAGTGTCACGCGGATTGTCAGTGCGGATCGCTCTGCACAGCCGATCTGTATGAACTGCTAGGGAGCGGAGCGGTTCCTCCGGACCGCATTACTCTAAAACGCTCCCTAGAAGTTCATACAGATCGGCCGTGCGGAGCGGGTTCGCACCGGACGGTCCGCGTGCGTGACACTAAAACCAGCCCTAGTGATAACGATCGTTGTTATTGTATCGCAGCTATTTGACTCAAAATTGGTAACTCATTGTCTTGACCAGATGGCTCGGACAAAAGAACAAAATAAATGACATACATAGTTCAATAAATTTGCAAGTGAGCTGGTCATAAATGTTTTTTTATCCACAACGGAGAAGCTCTTGGCCTATATTCTATATTTCACTAAAAGAAAAGTTATTGATGAAGCCAAAGGTGGAAGCGAGCTTCACCAGGAATCCTCTGCCACAGAGGAACTGGCTATCTTACATCCAACTGCCGAAACACAACAATTGTTGTGTCTTATTATTGTTATGACTCTAAGTCCATTAATATTGTTGTGGCAACAGACTTAGGTAAGATGGTGTTAGCTAGCCAGGCGAACTTAGAACAAGCCCAACCACCATCCAAATCGAGCATAATAATATAATTTTTGGGAACCAAGCCTGGGACCTTCTGAGTTTGAGACGAGAAATGATGGCTGAATTAACATGCCTGTGATCTTATTATCTGCTCCGCCGTCGAGGCCGCAGCACTCAGTCCTCGGGTCGGGAGGGAAGGCGCTTAGCCTTGAATCGCAACCGTCCTTCTGGATGCTCTCGGGCGGAGAGCCGCAGCACACGCTGTAGGCATCGGGGCCTTGGCATCTGGAATAAAGCTGATGATTAAAGACCCAAGTACCTCAGCATTTTTAATGTCATTTCTTGTCTCAGGCTGCAAGAACTTTTAAACAAAACCATCTCACCATTGCGTTTGTAATTTGTTTGATCATTTTTGAAATCTTTTGAATAATAATTTATATGTCTATCAGTCTTTCAAATATTACTAAGACTCCCTGCAGACTACAGACATTTAGTCGGCCGATATTTGGGTCGATTTTATTTTGTATAAAGAATCGGCCGATACCAAATCGGTGTAATGTGCGCACTTTCATACATGTCCATTGTCCATACTGATTAACAGCCCGACCCATCTATCGACCGACAAAAAGTTTGTGGTCTGCGCCTAGGCTTAAAAGACATTTTTATACAGATACGTCAATATTTTATTTATTTACGTTTCGACGATGTCACATTAGTAATATTATGTTGATTTCCCGCGTCATTCCGTACATGTACTAAATGACCCATCTACTGGACCTTGACATTCTTGCTACTGGTTCTGAAGACAGGTTTCCATCCTTAAGGAGAAGTCACATGAGTCGGCCAGTCACCCAACCGTATTTTGCTTAGTAGGTAATGAAAAAAATTACAATGAGAGTAGGTACCATTTATGTCATTAAGCCTTTGTTATAAACTACGCCAAGAAAGAATCAAGACTGTGAAAGTTTTAAATATTGCGAATAACAAGCTTCGTTCTTTGCTTTTTGAAGCGAGACTGCAGAGTCGTTTCATAATGAGAGCCAATAAATTAGCAGATTTCTAGAATGAATAAATATTATAATGTTACTGGCAAAGGTCTGTAAGTCCTTTTTGGAAGACGATTAGAAGGTCGATTGATTATAAAATGTTTTTTGTCTTTGTTGTGTATTTTCCATGTTTTCGTCAATGAATCTTAATGCGTGTGTTTGCTCAAATTAAGACTGATCTAATTCGCAGGTGAATCATCAGGCGCGTGTCAATAAATATTGATTGATTCATGTAAATTGTTCTAAACAAGTTTGATGCAAACGTCACTTGCGCGTTTGTTATGTCGACCTTTGTTTGATACGAATACAGATCCTAATCCTAAGCGAATTCTTATTCATTTGCTTTTATTCAGTTTTAGACTACAATATTTTTTAGCTTGATCTTATTAACATAATATCATGCTACATGATTTTTTGTTTATTAGGTCTTTAGATATTCTTGCAGTAAGTCTACTGACACTACTTGCAAGATGTTTTGCACATTTACTTGTTGTTAAGAGAGTTGTCTCAAATCTGTTCCAAATTCAGTATTCGTGACGAATCCTTGGTAAAAGATCGGCATTCAGACTCGGATCTTATCTAGTTGTAACATGCTACTTTACTATTAAAATATATTGAACTTTAACATACTTCGAGGCTTGAATAAACAGCTTGTTGTAACTGGTCACTGGCGGCGTCATCATTTCAGCGAGGTGCGGACACGAGTATATGCCGACGCATCTCCCGGGTTCGCCGTACGGTGTGTGGCACGGGCAGCATACCTGGAATATTATTGGATAGTTTTAGTTAGAGTTCACTTGTTGGGATGATGAAGCTGTAGATCCTGGCTACACAGGAGTTGCAGCGGTGGAAACAAAAGGAATAGTCACGTTGATGGGATGATGATGAGAAAATAGGGTAAACTAGAATATAGTCCTTTGCTTTAATTTAAGCGGTTCCTAAGAACAAGGGTGTTGACAGAAAAATGGACAACAAAGAGATCCTATAAGGTTTCCAATTTAGAAAATTAACAATGACTTGAGTTTAACATTATCATGAGCAAAATCAATATGTTAATACGTTGATTTTTTTGTCCTGTATCCTTATGTATTTTGCTTTTGAACTCAAGTTGATTTTATATTTCCTTCTCCGCAAAATCTTGGGAGGATGTTTCCTCATTAGGATACTGTTTACTGTTGCATTATATGACGTTGTTATTTATTTACGCATATTCCTGTTGATGATTTCGTTTTCCTGTAAAATTGTCCTTAGAGACTGAAATACGCATAATGATGGGCATGCGAACTACTTAGGTATAGGGAAATGAGATGTTTTACTATCGGAATAACTTAGGTAACATGGTTAAACTTACTGACGCATCTGGCAGCTGTCCAAATGAAGTGCCATTTCATTTCAAGTTTGAATGAACTGTAGCTTGCAAACGTTTTGATTAATGTCAAATGAATTCTCAATCTGAGCTACTTTTTATTAAAGAAGTTGCTGCCCCGTCAGATGTTGTCTTGTCTAAACGATAAAATTGCGCTCATGCAAAATTCCCATTGAAAAATGACTATACTTTTTCCAAATATGACTATAGTTTTCCAGTTTTCTTGACGATCGATCAACATGGAAAGCATTGAGGGGGAAGCCTATGTTCAGCAGTGGACGTCCTATGGCTGAAATGATGATGATGATGACGATCCAACAACAAAAACAATGATTCTAATCTGCCTAGCTGATCTTGAGTTTGAGCGAGTTCAAGTATTATTCTCACCTTAGGAGTTCTCCCCTCGAATCCACACGCGGACTTCTTGAGCAAGTCCACTTCAGCTGGCGACCTGTTCGATTTGTTTATGATCTGAAGCAGCGACGGGCATTTTTTAAACGTCACGCAGTTTCCAATGTCACCTTTCGCAGTCGTGCACGATTCTGGAAACAATTCGGCGAATTTTAAGTAGGTTTTAATTTATGTTGAAATGTTGACAGAGAACAAGTCTACCTGTTTTGGGGTGAATTTCTCACTTACAATTTGTGATACTGATGTTATAAAATCACAAACATTAGCCTTATCATAGTTTTGTCAAAAACGTCTCTGATTGTTTCGATGGCGAGTTAAATATTATATTTTTTTAGACTGGTCCACCAGGACAGTCGAATAGGATCGTGACTCCAAGTAGCTTTTAGTCTGACTGTTCTAGTGGTAGGTGGGATAAGATAGAAGGAAGATAAATTTTTACAGCGACCATCCTGGGACATTAGGATTATTTAGGATCTTCCTGGTTCTTTGGTACCAATCGCGAATTGGACCAATCGCGCCTAAATGGTTCTTTCTTAGCGTCCAAGAAAATCCTTCAACTGACTGTTACATCCCACACACAAGTTATTAAATGAATACACGGAAACGAAGGAGTCCGTCATCAAAACGTTTTCTTGAATTGAAATAAAACTGTACGTAATTATGATTATGATCAGTCTTGTTAAACAAATGTTTTCCTACAATATAGCACTTAGTTCCCCGTCAGTGCACAGTTGGCAGCACATAAGACTATACAATATACATATTTGTTGCAAAATAGCCTGTATTACAACGAGATAACACGCCACTGTGTTTAGCTTCATAATTGCTGTCGTCCATACTGCAAGGTTGCGATTTGTATCCTTTTATGAAGTAAGGCAAGTTGTATTTCGCAAATGTGAGGAATCTGCCTCACAAAGGTCCATAATGTCTATACATTATTTATTATTTTGTCTATACAAAAACACAGAATCGATTGAGACTTAAATGGATGGCACCTATCACATAAAAATACAGTAGTTTCATTCACACAATTTGTATGAAGAGTTTGAGCGTTCTTCTCTTGAGGAAACTTGTTGCATTTGAGCCGTAGAATCAATCGTTTGTTTGATCCATACTTTAAGCGACACCAACACATGGGTGTCTGTCACCAACCGGGACTAATAGAAGCTAATAGTCGTAAATAAGGAAAAACCATTGAATATATTTGAGGAAAACAGTTGAATTATGTAACGATTACCATAATTATAGAAGATTAATTAAGTAGTAGTGATTCGGTTTTACATTTATATTGGTTGTCTAATCGTGCGACACTTTGTTCTTGTTTGCTAATTATGTTTTTTTTAGGTCCATAAAATGTGTAATTAAATAAAATCACTTCAATGAAGTAAAATGACCTTTTTTTAAATATCTTAAACAAAATTGCATAGATTTTTTTTCCTATAATCTACAAAACTTTATGGAAAGTCCTTTCAGCAAGCAGCGGTTTACATTATATTTTAATACGACTACGAGATGTTGATGTAATTTAGTTAGTGTTATCACCATTTGCCTCTGATATATTGGAGAGGGTCGTGCTCCTGAAATGGAGACTAAATGACCTGATGATGATGATAAGTTAGTGTTAAAGTTTAAAAAAATCCTTTGTAATAATTGAACTAAGTATAAAAACAAACGTATCGTTCACATTCCTTACAAAACGCATTTTGAAAATTTTAGTACCTAACAAGACCATCCAACAAAAATTAAATATTCATGCAATAATAAAGTTATTGTGTAGTGCTCAAGTAGTACAAAAAGATGTGTGTATCTTTTTTGTAACTGTTTTGACCTTATAAAGTATTAAAACAAAATACTTACGTCCACTAACACAGCAAGTTGCGGCAAAGAACGCACACGCAAGTATTAAAAGCTTCATTTTTATCTAAATATCACATAAACACTAAACAAAATTTATACGCGTTTCCTTGACGCGTCCACCGCGGTCGACGGCCGGCGGAGCTATGCCCGCGAGGCTGCCCAAGCGCAGCTCAGGATTCTGATGTCTATTTCCTGCTCCCTGGCTGTCCGTTATAGTGCACCCGCTTAAACCTGTCCACCCTCCTCGATATCTGTATTGGATTGCCAGGACGTGTCCGGCCAAATATTCTCTCGTCCGGCCTGGCCTTTTGTTAGGCTTTTATGTAGCTGTAGTGCCTTATTTGCTAACTTTTGAATAATGCACGCAGTAAACACTGGCCAACATAAATATACCTAATGTAGGATTAACTCGTAAGGAAATTCAACAATTGCTTAGGGCATCACGCACCAAAAAGAACACAAAATAATTTGTTAGGGTAAAATGTCCGGCCAAATTATGCACCAAGTTCGGCTTTCCCGTTTTTGGACCTGGCAACCCTATATTATCTGTATTATAACATCCCGGCATTGAGTTATAATGGATAGAGAAGCTATCGTAAGCAAAATTCTTGCTCCATTTTGGAAAGAATCAAAACTAAAGTTCGCTGTAGGGTGCACTGATTGCAGTACAGTTCAGTTGAGCAAAGCGAGTGTTCGGATCTCGTAATCTAGTGCGTAGTACAACATATTGATGCATCCCGGCTTCAAGAATTTTTCTAGATACTATACTTACGAGCAAAAATATGGAATCAGCACCTTGTGTTTTGTTCCGAGCGATCTTAAGAACTGAATGACTACCTATGCATGTATCTGTGGTATCAATTTAAAGTTTATAATATTACCTTTAAAATGGTACCATTTTTATTTGTCTTCTATTAGTCATTTAGTTTTTGTGATCGCTCGAAACAAACAGGGTGATTCCATATTTTTGCTCGCGAGTGTAGTACCATCTTTGTATTGCTGAACTTGCATGTACAGTATTTTGCTGGTTTACCCTGAAGTCAATAATCCGTGAAAGTCAGGATGGCACACATACGGTATTCACAAACATTACTATGAGGTCTCAGATTGTGCGTAGACGCATAGGGTGACACATATATCTATTCAACGCTGTGCGTTCGATTTTCTACTTCAATTTCAAGTAGCCTATGACCCTATGCGGCCAATCATATTTCTGCGTAACTGCACTCCGTTGTAATTTGTAGTGTAGTTGTTGGATACAGGGTTTGGAAGCTAAGATATTTTCTTTTTTACGATATATTCCTATAATATTAAATTATTGATGTTTCTAATTAATAAATCAGGTTCTTAGATCCTTATTTAATAGCAGTATTTAATTTACGTCATTTCAGAAAAGGATAAAATCGTTAATACAGTGTGAGTCACGATAAAGTGCACATATGAAAATAGATGAAACTACTAACTAGACTATTTTTATCGACAAAAAAGAGGTATAAACCAATCATAGGTATAAATTATTATATATATAATTTGAATACAGTTTTAAAGGATAATGATTAGAAAATACCAAGTGACTTCATTTTCCAGGACATTATTACATATTTATTAACTAACTAGGACATTATTGACTGATAGAATACCACATTACATAATATTTGTTATTATACGAGTATACAGGGTATTAGGTAATTGGGTATATGAGCCGACACTAGCCCATGTTAACATGGTCATATAAATGGTATGGTGAAGTCAGAAATTTGATATCATCATTTTAATTTTTTTAATTTTCATACAAAATACATTTCATAAAATCAGCTTTGTATGAAAATTAAAATAATTAAAATGAAGATATCAATTTTCTGACTTCACCATACCATGTTAACATCGGCTAGTGTCGGCTCATATACCCATTTACCTAACACCCTGTATAACGACAGAATGGGAGATTTGACACTCGATATTTCATGTTAGATAAAATATTATTTCTTGAATTAAGTCGCCTTTAAGATATAATTTTGACTAGATACGAGATTAGCTGACGATAGCTGAACGCTTTCTCAATGGAGACCACGATAAAATAGGAAATCGTCATTTTAGCACTCCTCGAATATATCGTCGTACAATGCTCTACAACTAGGAGGTGGTAAAAGATAAAAAAATGAAAATTCGAAACTTACGAAACCTATATTTATTAATTATATTGAATTACATATATAAATTATAATCTCTCGGTCTTGGAGGACACATAACACAAATTATAATTCACCAGTCTACAACCTTAAGCATTAAATTAGTAAATTAAGAATTATTACAAAGAATTTTGAGATACAGGAAAGAAGAAGCTTTAAGAAGATTACCGAGTAAAGGCAATCAGAAACATAATATAATATCTTAAACTCATCAGTTCAAACATAATTGAGTCAATCAGTCAATAAATATTTGCAACTCGTAATTTGAGATCAATTCATATTAGCTATGTCTAAACTTTTTTAAACTATAATTCCATTATTGGATAAGTCTATCAAGGCGCAATTCATATTAATTACGAATTGATCCCAAATATTGCAAAGTTTATCTCATTTTAAATTTTCCAATATGTTTGCATTTCTCGGAAGCATTTGACAAAGTCGCTCAAAGTTCAGTGTTTCCCTTTATCCAGTCGAGATACGCGTAAACTTTGCTGTACACGCCAGGGACGTCATCCATGCCACACGGGGCTGGTCCGAAGCTGACTAGTCCAATCATTTCGTATATCCTTTCATTTTTGAACATGAGGGGCCCCCCAGATGACCCCTTGCAGGAGTCCTTTCTGGCTTCACCTCCCGCGCATATCTGGCCGCTCCATAAATCTATTTTACGTCTCGCTACGCTGTACGCTGGTTGGCATTCCTGGAATCATATTGAAATAATATTTACCATTGAAAATTATGTTTGCACTTATTACATACATAATGCTTAAATTTCTTTTCTTGTGAGAGAGGTGAGACTAGTCCCGTTAGTAGATTTTTTGACCAAACACCTACCACTACTGGACAAAAAGCTTCCCCGAATATTTCCACAAAGACCGAACTGCACTGCCCGCATCCAGGAGCTTTCCGCGACCTTCACCAGACCTCCGGTCAATCAAGTGGCGGGCTTGCCTTCAGTTTTTCGGGCCGTGTAGGCGCCTTAATAAAAACTAAAACTTACCTCCTGACTAACAAAGGGTAAACGGACGTGAAGTTTAACCATGCTCTTGGTGTGGGTGTTATTGAAGTCGCCCCAGCCGGCCACCCACAGCTTGAAGTTGGGCGGCGGCTTCTCCGTGACGTCGACGACTGGCAGGCAGATGGGTTGGATGAAGTCTGAAAGTCAAATTCTTAATATTAATATACTCATTAAGACAAATAACTTCTAGTTAATCCATTAACATAGCGTAGCGTAACAGTATGTGGTAAGTCCCTTACTTTTGTAACTTGCTTCATCAAGTGGTTACAAAGACCTTATTTTAATAATATAAAGCCAAAACCAACCTGTATAAGGAGCAGCCTGCTTCGTCCTAACGAGGCCGATGTCGTTATGCTTTGTAATAGTGTTGTATTCGGCGTGTGAAATAGTCTTCTCGATGGGGAGGACGACGATATCGTCGGTGCAGTCCAAGGCAAAGCCATCCACGGTTACACAGTCAGGCCCATCGTGGCTCAAATCGTAATCTCCGAGTCGAATGTTCTTCCTGAAAAATAATATTCAGTTAAATAATACTAATATTTTTCTGACGTCGAAATACGATTTGATTTTTTTGGCAGTAGGTATTTTGTTTGTTAAGGTGTTTTAAATATTAAAAAAAGATAATAAAGCCGTTGATTTTTCTAATGACGATCTGTGGTTGGAATAAGCCCAGTTTCATAACTCAGCGAAATAAAAATGGCTTTGTGCGTTACAACAACATAATGCGGCTTTGACTTTCGGAAGCGTAATGAAAAGACAATGCCGGAAATTGGCGTCTTTTTTTTTTCGCGCGGCCATCGACCAAACCATGTTTTTTGGATACAAAATAGTAAAATAAACCAAACTTACTATGACATGTATACCTCTAAACTCAGTCTGAACGAAAAGAGTTGCAATTTCTTACAAAACTTGCGCGCAAAAAGCAAATCTAGTATGTAAATCATCAAACTTCTAACGCTCGTAACTCAGTTCAGACTGAGTTTAGAGGTATACATGTCATAGTAAGTTTGATTTATTACACTATTTTGTAATCAAAAAACAAAGTTTGGTCGATGGCCGCGCGAAAAAAAAAAGACGCCACCTTCCATACAAAATCTGGCATTGCCATTTTGCACTGCAATGAAACTCACGGTGTGCCAATTTTGAGAACACTCCCGGTGAGACAGTGGGCGGCTGTGAGGACGTATCTGCTGCTGATGAGAGATCCGATACAGAGCAGCGCGATCTTGTTGTCCGTCTTCAAGTATTCGATGACCGTCATCCACGGGTACTCATCCACTCTGGTCTCCGTGCCCCCTGGAAGTATACTATAATACTATTAGGGATGATCCAAAAGTAATGATAAGAAACATTTCTGTACACCATCACGTTTAAGAATTACATCCATCTGAATCCTAACAATCGGAAAGTTATACAAAAATTCAAAATCTGCCTGGAGTTAGATACTGATGTTTCGTGCAACAATTAGGCCTCGTTCCCATGGCAATAATTTGACTGTCGTGTGAACATACATTGTGTGTTTAAAATTGACAAATAAATTGTTAATATCAATGTAACAATATATTGAATGAATTGATGAGATATCTCGACGCGGGGTGAATGGGGATGTTGCCTGGGTCAAAAAGCAAGAGTTTTAATTAGTCCGTCAGTTAACTTATCAAAAAATACTCTACACGTATTTTTCACTTTTGCAAACTAATGAAAATTTAAAGAGATAAAGCGCCCCAAAGTTCATAAGAAGAGGCCCGTGACGTCAACGCTTGCTTAAAAATGCCGCACGTTGTGACGTCGTGCGCAACTTCAACGCACCATAACTATGTAATTATTTGTTAGATTGACAAATAAAAATATACGTGTCCAATATTTTTTGATATTAAACATTACGGACTAAAAAAATTTTTTTAGGCAACTAGCCTATTGAGCAAAGGAAACTTGCCTATGATCTTGTCATGTGTTCCTGCGCCAACGCCGCAGCATCCACTCCTGGGATCGGGAGGGAGGGCACTCAACCTCGACTTACAAGAGCCCTCTGAGATGCTGTCGGGAGGAGGCCCGCAGCACACGCTGTAGTCGTCGGGACCTTGGCATCTGGAGAGTAAGAGCAGATTAGAAGCGTGAGGAACTGGCACCGTGGCAAATGCAAATGGTTGTGGCGCTGCAACTGCGCTTTTAGAAGTTGTATGAAAACTAGTAGTGTTGCTGCAAGTGCCACTGCAGCCTCTTATTTGAAGTATTTTGAAGTCGTCCTTAAAAGTTTATGATTAAAGGGGGAAAGTGCCTTTGGACCTCAGCTTGCAATTTTCCTTTAGGACTGAGGTTATAAAGCATGTGTCTGTAGTCCATATTGGTAGCAAGCAATAAACGAAGGTACCTATACACTGGCGCTTTATCAATGGCTGCTATTTTCAAAACGGTGTTGTACAGAATGCACGTGAAGCGAACATGTGGCATCTTACGCAGTTCTAATAAATGCTATTTTGCGACAAAAATGTCTGATGTGTTGTCGATGTATGTTAACTTACCTCGAGGCTTCTACCAACGACATACTCTCAGTGGTCACTGGCGGAACCAGTAGTTTAGCGAGGTGTGGACACGAGTATATGCTGATGCATTTCCCGAGTTCGCCGTACGGTGTATAGCAGGGGCAGCAAACCTGGAATATTATCGGATCGGTTCAATTACAGGTTGACGCATGTTTCTTCCTCCACAAAATCTTGGGTATCTAATCGTTTCCACATTATTCTCATTACTGTTGAGCTAAAGGTGACTGGTTCGCATCACAACTACATTCTATTCTTACATATTGTTTTCCTTTAAAATTGTCCTCGTAAATACACGTCTTTTAGTATTTTACCAAGTAGTCTGCAATTTATGTCTTAATTTAGTGACCGCCCGTGCGTCATATCATAGCCATATCAACTCAATAGGTACTGTGGCTTTTATGCAGTTGTATTAATATGCGATTTTGCAACAAACATGTGAAGTCTAATGTGCAGGCGATTGTACTTATAGCCAAATAAAATTGTTTGCTTTCGGGATAACTTAGGTAAAATGTTTTAACTTAACAACTAAAGTGACCTGAGCTCATCGAAGTTTTCTTTTAATTAAATATTATGGATGAGAAGTGAGTTTAATGTTTATATTCTCACCTTAGGAGTGTTTCCCTCAAATCCACACGCGGACTTCCTAAGCAAGTCCACGTCAGCTGGCGACCTGTTCGGTTTGTTGAGGATCTGCAGCAGCGACGGGCATTTGTGGATCGTCACACAATTCCCGCTGTCACCGTTCGTAGTTGTGCACGATTCTAGAAATTATTGCGAATTCTATGTCAGATATTTCATTTATTTAGTTTGTTGCAGACATCTGCCTGTTTTGGGATGAATTTCCCACCAGTTACTTTTAATCAGTTCGAGGGATAACACTATAACGTGTTTGTGTTTTATTGTTTTAATATATCTGATTTTATCAGGCTAAAGTGGTTTGACCGGTTATGAGTATTGACAATCATATAAGGAAAAAACATTGAATATATTTGAGGAAAACAGTTAAATTATGTTCTTAACGATTAACATAATTATTATTGAAGATCAAAAAAGTAGCGATTGGATTTTACATCTATAATTGGTTATTTAATCAAATCAATTGCAACTTTTTAGGGTTCCGTAGTCCTGACAAGGAACATAGTTTCGATATGTCCGTCTGTCCGAGGTTTAGCTTAGAAACTACTGGCACTGGAGCTGTAATTTTGTGGAGGTATTAATCACGCCGACAAAACGGTAGAATAAAATTTTGAAAAAAAAATGTACATTGGTACATTCATTCCCCTACATGTAAAGTGGGGATGATTATTTTTTTCATCTTCTACCCCATCGTGTGGGGTATCGTTGGACAGGCCTTTTAAAATGGCTTAGGGGTTTGTAAGACTATTTTTCGAGTTAGGGATCTGTTTGCAAATTATTAAAGTTTAAAGTGCCAATTTTTGTTCGAGTAGGGCGTCCCCCCCCCCCCCCTCTCTAAAAACTAAACTGTTAGCTTGAAAAATCTAGAAAAAATCGTTATAATACAGCTTTTCATGAACTCTCAAGGATAAGATAGCGGTTAATAGATCACTTAGTTTAAGAGTAATAGTTCTTAACCAGTAAAAATTCCTTAGAAGAAAATATGAAAAGTGACTAACTAGATGAAGTAATTGCTTGCTTCTGATATAATATTGTGGTAACGACGGACAACTACGGAACCCTACACTGCGCGTGGCACTACACGCACTTGGCCATTTTTTTTATTTTAAAGTCGTATTAAAATCCACCCTATGATTTATTATTTTGTTATTTAGATTCTGCATGAAATGACTAGGTACTCAATTGAGTAAATGTAGTAAAAAGTTACTAATTAAATATTAAAGTGAAATAAGTTTTGTTCTGTTATTGACCACAAATAACTTTTCACACATTTATTGTGTGTACCACAAATACAGTAACTGTAGTGTTAAGGTATTAATTAAAACAAAATGTACTTACGTCCGTCGACATAGCTCGCAGTGACAAACAACGCAGATGCGAATATTAAAAGCTTCATTTTTAATGGAAATACCACAGAAAGCTTACACTAAACACGATATAAACTTGTTTCCTTAACGAGTCCTCCGCGGTCGGCGGCCGTCGGAGTTCTGAATGTTGCTAACGTCAATTTTTTAATTGCCGTGTTAGGGCTTGTTCCCACGGTGACATCCCGTAGTACAGGGGTAGCCAAACTTTTGACCTGTGAGGTCTACTTATGCTTGAAAATATTTATTGCGGTTGACTGAAGAATGAAATAAAACATCTTTCATTTTAAATCATTCTATTTATGTATTTAACTTTCGCGGGCTACCATAATCGTCTTCGCGGTCGACCTCTTGGCCATCACTGTAGTATGCGATAAACTTGACCTTCATTGGTTGGGTTTTTATAGCTGTCAAGCTGTAGATCCTGGCTACACAGGAGTCGCAGCGGTGGGAACGAGAGGTGGGAATAGTTCCGTAGTAATACGTGTTCTAATATTAACGTTCACACGAACATCCCGTATACCCGCAAAAACGGATCCTTCTTTAAATAATCAATGTGTGTTCACACGACAGTCCATTTCTGCGGGACCCTGTATCCCCCCCCCCCTGCGATCCCGAAAAACTAGATTGCCATGGAACTTGTTGAGGAAAATTAACGTGTTTGTAAGGGAAAGCTATCTTTGGCTGCCGTAGTAAAATCTGTGGCTTAGTGTGCCTTATTTGGGCCCTTTTAAATCGATTGGGAGCCATTCTCCAATTTGGCCGGCCGTTTGGTGTAGTGGTTCAGAGCGGAGTACTATGCCGAGAGGTCCCGGGTTCGATTCCCGGCCGGGCAGAAATTGAAATGATGAATTTTAATTTCTGTGACGGGTCTGGGTGTGACTATGTATAATATGTATGTATTTAAAAAAAAAAGTATATAAGTAGTATATCCGTTAAGCTAGCACCCATAACACAAGCATTAAGTTGCTTACTTTGGGGCTAGCTGGCGCTGTGTGAAATTGTCCAAAGATTTATTATTTATTATTATTCTAACTAAAAAAAAGGTCATTGAAATCTGGGCATCTAGAAAAAGAGGTCTATCAGTGGTTGTTGTCAGAGATAGGTAAATTTTGTATTTTCTGGCTTGGCAATAATCAAAATACGACCTGTACTGTTTAAAAAAAAAAGTATATAAGTAGTATATCCGTTAAGCTAGCACCCATAACACAAGCATTAAGTTGCTTACTTTGGGGCTAGCTGGCGCTGTGTGAAATTGTCCAAAGATTTATTATTTATTATTATTCTAACTAAAAAAAAGGTCATTGAAATCTGGGCATCTAGAAAAAGAGGTCTATCAGTGGTTGTTGTCAGAGATAGGTAAATTTTGTATTTTCTGGCTTGGCAATAATCAAAATACGACCTGTACTGCAATAGGCCGTATAATTATTTTCAAGTAGGTACATATCAAATTTCCGTAGAATACGGCAATTGCCGTAGCAATGGCAACGGTGACCCGCGAAGCTGCCCAGGTGAATTCCGATGTCATTTTCCTGTTCCCTAGTATATGTGTCCGTTAAAGAATGTACAACCCAGTTAAACCTGTCCTGCCTCCTCAACAGCGTGTTATTTTTATAGTTGATCAAACAGAAACGGTTGGTTCCACTTCTCAAATACAACTACTTTTCCTAGAGGACCAATATAAAATTCACAAAAGATTTAAATGACGTCCCCATACTTGACTGATTGCTGGTGATAATTATTTTCATATTAGAAAAAAACTTCTTTCTAAGCCGGCTTTAGATAAATTATTACAAAATTGTAAAAATAATATTGTAAAACTGACGATAGCTGAAGTAAATGGTTCTTAATGAAGACCAAGTTTTTGCACGACGAGTAGTCTAAAAGTAGGAAATGGTGCTGCAATAAAACTAGCTGATAAAACTTACATTTATTAATTATATTTAATTACATCCTTAAATAAATTATAATCTCTCACTCTTAGTGGTCACAACAGAAAGTGCTTACATTATTATTCACCAGTCTACATCATTGAGCATTAAATAGTAAATTAAGCATTTTGAGAATCATTTTGAGACACACACAAGGAAGAAGAAAATTACCGAGTTTGAAGGATTCTATAGACGTTTCATGAAATAGGCAGTCCACAAACTTGTACTATAAACTTTGATAAATTCAATCATTCATAATTTCAATCAGTCAGTCAAAAGTATTTGCGCCTTGCAATTTGAGATCAATTCATAATAATTATTATAATGTCTTAATGTCTTTAACGGTAACTTCAATATTAGATAAAGCTATCAATAATCAAAATGCAATTGATATAAAGTACGAATTGATCACAAATATTGCAATGTTTATCTCATTTTAAGCAAATTTCCATAGGTCACAATATTTCTATTTCTCCGAAGCATTTGATGAAGTATTTCAAGGCTGAATATTGCCCTTTATCCAGTCGAGATACGAGTGAACTTTGCTGTACACGCCAGGGATGTCTTCCATGCCACACGGGGTCGGTCCGAAGCTGACTACTCCAAGCACTTCGTATATCTTTCCATTCTCGAACATGAGAGGGCCTCCGGAGTCTCCCTTGCAGGAGTCCTTTCCAGCTTCACCTCCCGCGCACATCTGGCCGCCCCATAAAGCGACTTGACGTCTTGCAACGCTGTAAGCCGGTTGGCATTCCTGTAACGATATCGAAACATATTTAGCAAAATGATATTTTCTGTCTTGACTTGTTTTTTTTGTGAGAGAAGTAGAACTAGTCCATTTAGTAGTTTCATCCAATCACCAACAACTGATGGACAAAAGCTTCCCCAAAGACTTCCACAGAGACCGGTTCTGCCTTGCCCGCATCCAGGTGGTTCCCAAGACCTTCAAAGGTCGTTCTCCCATCGATTGGGAGACCTGCCTACACTACTTTTTCTGGTACTCATATTAAAAACACCAAAACTTACCCTCTGGCTCACAAATGGTAAATCGACGTGAAGTTTAATCGTGCTCTTGGAGTGGGTGGTGTTGATGGCGCCCCAGCCGGCCGCCCACAGCTTGAAGTTGGGCGGCGGCTTCACCGTGATGTCGACGACTGGCAGGCAGATGGGTCTGATGAAGTCTGAAAGCCAAATTCTTGCCTTAGTAACGTCACAGAATAAGTAATAGTACAGGTACAGAAGGATTACTCCGCAAGACGATTTAAATAAATGCGAGTCTTGCTACGACGCGATACAGTGGAATTCAGCTCGCACAGCACTACGTACCTACAATTTTATTCACCTACAAGTTTTGTCTCTTTCTATCGCGTGCCTCTGAACTCTTCTTACGCTGTTAGGGTTGCTGTCTAGTGAAAAAATAATTAATCTACTTATTTGTAATTAGGTACGTATGTAGGTAAGTATGCATTCATTATGGAAAACCTTGGGAGAGGCCTTTGTCCAGCAGTGGACGTCATTTGGCTGAAACGAACGAACGCATTCTGAGCAGTAGTCATGGTAGGTTAGGTTCCTATACTATCCTACGAATTATTGATTACCTACATGGCCAACATACCTTTCAGCATCTTTGGGAAGCGAAAAAAAAAGATAAATCCGGTAGATTTCTTTTCGAATTTAAACACCCGAACGCCGCACAATATTTCTTTCTCTTTATGTCCATTTTTAAATAATACTTCGATCATAGAATTATAATCATACTACAACGCACGCCAGCGTCCTGACGAGCGCGCGCGTGACACTCGACTGATATAATACCCGCCGGCGGGGCGCTTCGCTGTAGGTAATTATCGGATGTACCGCGCGGAGTGAGCCAGGCCTGGTAACGTCTAGCAATCTTTTTATACACATTAAGACGAATGACTTAATTAATTGCACATTGTTTACAAATTACGACTAGTTAATTCATTGAAGCATTATACACTTATCATGGGGTCGAACTAACCTGTGTAAGGAGCAGCCTGCTGCGTCCTAATAAGGCCGATGTCGTGACGCCTTGTAACAGGGTTGTATTCGACGTGGGGGATGGTCTTCTCAATGGGGAGGATGACGACACCCTCACTGCAGTCCTCACCACCTCCCTCCACGGGTACACAGTCGGGCCCGTCGTGGCTCGAGTCATATTCTCCGAGGCGAACGTTTTTCCTGGAATCGAAGAAGAATTTTTTGATGTCGAAAGAAAACAGTTCTTCCGAGAAATTATATTCGAATCAAAATTCGGGTCTTTATTGGAAATTAAATAACGTTTTGTACTAAATGCAACTCACGGTGTGCCATGGTTCAGAACAGCCCCGGCAAGACAGTGGGCGGCTGTGAGGACGTATCTGCTGCTGATGAGCGCTCCGCCACAGAGCAGCTTGATCCTATTGTCCTTGCCCAGGTATTCGATGAGCGTCAGCCATGGGTACTGATCCACTGTAGTCGCAGTGCCCCCTGGAAGTATGTATCACTTTTAAAACACCATTGAATTTCACAACATGAGCCGTGTGATGAGAGTAAGACTTAAGTCTGTATCATTTCAAAATTGGACCTTTTTAAAACTAAAACTTGTACGCCACTTCATTGTGACTCATTCTGTTTTTGTGTATTTGAGCAAAGGTCAAACAATAGCCGTTTGAACGACATAGAGCGAGACAAGGCAAAATAATTTAAGTATGCAATATCTCAATAATGCGATATCTTTTTGGTGAAGACTTGGATTGTCCGATTTAACAGGTAAACAGACAAACTTGCAAGAAAATACACAGTAATCAAGATGTGAACAAAGGCAAGGACGAGATAATGAACATTAATCTTCATAGTAGGTAGTTGGGCACTAATTGTAATGTTCATTACATTACTGACTAATGGGAATTTACACCGACTCTGAAATGTTTACTGGGTAAATGTTCCCATTGGGAAAATACTTGAACAGATTTTAGCGAGAATTTGAGTAATATCGCTATGTTGCGTGCAGCCATTTATTTTGGGTAATTGACTCAATATTGTGTATTACTCATTGCCTTTTGCTGAAGACCAATTATAAATATAAATAGCTCAAAAATTAGCAAGCTAAGGTGGCAGTGAGCTGGCCATATTTTACCCGCAATTGGGAAGCTTAAAGCGGGGAAGGCCTGCATCGCTTCTGATGATCAGACCGAATGTGGAAGGGGGCTTCACCCAGAAACCTCAACCACAAATATACTTGCTAAACATTGTTGTTGTGGTGACCCTTAAGTAAGATGTTGGTAGTTAGCCATGTGGGCTTAGAAAAATTTAAGCTCCAAATTGGGGAATCTGATAGTCGAAACAGGTGGTCTTCTAGACCACAGAGATGATGGAGAAATGACGGAAAAAGTGGATGAACTTGCCTGTGATCTTGTTATCTGCTCCGCCGTCGAGGCCGCAGCACTCAGTCCTCGGGTCGGGAGGGAAGGCGCTCAGCCTCGACTGACAAGCGCCTTTTGAGATGCTTTCTGGAGGAGGCCCGCAGCACACGCTGTATGCGTCGGGACCTTCACATCTGGAGAGTTAAAGGTTATGATTAAAGAGGAAAAGTGCATTTAGAATAAAACTACAGTTATAAGCCATGCTGACTAGTATACTGTCAAATTACCATAATAACTACTATACTATGCAAGTTTTTTTAACACAAAATCATAACATACGCTACAAGTGCTACAACCGGTAGAAAACAAGATAATCCCTTTTCATTTAGAATTATCTTTATGGCTTTTTAAAAAGAAGATACTGATAAGTTGGACTCTATGGCATGTCACAACTATGGGAATATTTTTATTTATTTACGTTACGAAGATTTCACATTCGCAATAATATGCTGATTTCTCACGTCATCTAGTACGCGTAACCAATGACCGATCCACTGGGCCTTGGCCCTTGACATTCTCGTTACTGGTTCTGAAGACAAGTTGCCATAGTTAAGGACAATACACATGGATCGGCCAGTCACCCGAGAGAAATAGTATTTTGCTTAGGAATAAAATTTATAAGCATATTTATTAAAATGGATAAACAAATTACGTAACTGCCAAAAGCAAAATCAATTTTTGGAAAGTCCTTTTTGTATGACGGTTAGAAATCGTCTGCTTTCACAACAAGACTGGTCAAATCATAATTTGACGCTTCACAAAGACTTAGGGCTGATTTTTCAATCGTCAGATATTTTTTAACTGAAGAATAATCTTGTCATTTTGACATATTTCCCGTACGAAAACTGTCAATGTGCCAAACTTATTCTTCAGTTAAAAGTTATCCGACGGTTGAAAAATCAGCCCTTAATCATAGTTGAGTCTTTATGGTCAATTGTGCGAAATGTGGGATTATGGGGGAATTTCCCGTGTTTTCGTCAATGGATCTTATTGACTATGCGTGTGTTTGTGCTCAAATTAGGACTGATCTAATTAGCATGTGAATCATCAGTTCATCAGGCGCGTGTCTACAAATATTAATACATGTAAATCGTTCTTAATTTCAATGTAAACGTCACTTGCGTGTCCGCAAAGTTGACTTTTGATAGGAATACTAACGTTATTTTCTGCTCTTAAAGTGTATATTCGTTTGCTTCTATTCAGTGACTTTATACTCTTTAGGTGCAAGATTTTTTGGCTTGATCTTATTAACATGCTACTGGTTTTGAGACGGATTTTTGTCCATTTGATCTTAGGAGATTTGTATGCTATAGATATCGCTAGTAAGTTACTTAACACTACTAAGTTATTCTAAACAAGTTTTGGTAACATACGTTTTTTATTTCTTGAGAGCTACCAACCTAGCTGATAGAACCTAGTAGTTGGTATATTTTTCCTGTTCAATAATTATGATTGTAACAACAGTGCAGCAAAACAAAGCAATTCTTATTATATTCTTCAAGGAATTATTTGTTAACCAATTTAAATGTACTAAATACGGTAATTCGTGACGAATCCTTGATAAGAGAACGGCATTCTGTGTCGGGGAATCCCAGCTGAACTAATCGAGAAGTTAAATTGTACGCTATGACGACATCGAGTGTCTTACGTAGACATCCATAAATGTAGCTGATTGCGTTAAACATTCATTAGATTTAGGAAGGTCTCCGTGGTCTTTATTGGTGGCAATAGACGAAGGTAAACAATGAATTTTTAATCAGTGACCCATTGGTGGGTGATGATCACAAACAAAAAGAATTGAACCTACTGCTCAAACACGACAACTTTCCCCAAGAGACGGAAGTTCTATTTTTTCAGAAAAAGTAACACTCCCAATATTGCCAATTTGTAAGGAATTAAGGATGTTTTTTTTGAGAATTCCTGTAGAAAAGTTATGCATTTGAGCAGTAAAATCCATACTTTTTAGTAATTTTCGTATGATCACCCATCAGTGGGTCAGTTGTCAAAGCTGCTATTTTCCCCAAATAATGTATCGTATTTGAACATACCTCGAGGCTTGAACCAACAACATGCTCTGAGCGGTCACTGGCGGCGCCAGTAGATTAGCGATGTGTGGACACGAGTATATGCCGACGCATTTCCCTGGTTCGCCGTACGGTGTGTGGCAGGGGCAGCAAACCTGGAATATTATTAGTTCAATTATAGTTAGCTTGATTACAGGTTGCTGTATGTTTCCTCCTCCGCAAAATCTTGGGAGGATGTTTCCTCATTATGTTCCTCTTCACTGTTGAGCTACAGATAACCGCTTTGCAACACAACTTATTGTTAGCTTACGCATATTTCTAAGACGTATACGTAGAATAGAATAGAATAGAATAGAAAACTTTTTATTTGCAAGAAAGGTATACAAGCAGGTAAGACATAGATTAAAACAGAGAGAAATAAACAAGTGGACAATTAACTGCTTGTGCCCCTCTGACAAAAAGGCACCCGCTCATATATGTATACGTCTTTCGGTACTTTACAAAGTTTGTGACAATGACGTTAATAAAGCTCAACATTGTGACTTAAATACAGTTTTAATAAATGCTAATTTGCAACAAATCTTTTGAAGTCTGATGTGCTGCTGGCTGTTATTCTACGTAGTAAAATTATTTATTTTGGAATAACTTGAACAACATGACTTAACTTACTGGCGAATCTGGCGGCTTTCCAACTAAATTGCCGTTTTGTTAAGACTTTCAATGAACTGATGGCTTCCAAACGTTTTACTTTTTGATTTTAAATGAATTTTCATCTTAGCTGCCTTTTACTATGGGTTGGATATTATTATTCTTCATCATCATTTCAAACGTCCACTGCTGAACATTGGCTTCCCCCAATGATTACCAGACTAGCCGGTTGGCAGTGGCCTGCACCCAGAGCCTTTTTGCAACCTTCATGAGGTCACATGCCCACCTGGTGGGTGGGTGGTTTTTATTCTTACCTTAGGAGTGTTTCCTTCGAATCCACACGCTGACTTCCTGAGCATGTCCAAGTCAGCCGGCGTCCTGTTCGGTTTGTTGATGACCTGCAGCAGCGACGGGCATTTGAGGATAGTCACGCAGCTTCCGCTGTCACCGGTCGCAGTTGTGCAGGATTCTGGAAACAATTTAGGAGGATTTTAATGCGGATACGGAAATCTATAAGTGCTTTTGGTTACCTTGTACCTATTCACCAGGATCTGATTGTTTTGGGATAACTTTTCCACCAATCATAAGCTCGTGAGACATTTGGTGATAGGTTTTTTTATGTTGATGTCTGAATATCATAGAGCAGGTTGTCCTGTCCACCAGTCCACCAATAGATTTCCCGGATTGGCTAGGCAACTGTTCACGAGCATCTTGCTTTGCTGTAATAGGTTTTGCAACAAAAATACAATGTAGTGTAATGTGCTGTACCTAACAAAACAAAAATAATATCCTTGTCAGTATGGTGAACATTTTACCTACTTCTTCAAACAACTGTAAAACCCATATTTTCAGCTGTATGCGAATTATTGCAGGGTTCATGTCTAATTTGACCGGACTATTGTGCAAATAAAGACTTTGATTTGATTTGTCTCGTGAATGTAAATATACCTTTAGCACAGCCTTTAGTCATGTCATTGAGTACTCTTGAAGATTGCAAACCAAAAGAAATAGTGACTGTAGTATTCGCACGAAAAACCTGTTTTAGATTAGCCAAACAGGTGGGGAAACAGGTTCTTTTCTCATTGTTTAAACTTGTTTTTAATCATGCTGGACACGTAATAGGCCATTAAGATTTGTGGTTGATGTACAGTTACAAAAACTATATTGTTACGAGGTAAATATTTTGTTGACAGCACATTACTGTGAAAATTTTTGTAGCAAAATCGTATTTATTACTGATATTAAATGTTTGTGTATTTGTTTAGCTAGATTATGTATCGATATTTTCAATTTAGACGTGTAGGAATCTCATTTCATTTTATAAAGCACTAGGATTCTGTTCGGGCGAAGGTAAATCTAGATAAACATTGTGGCATCTTGTATTAAGTGTGTTTTTCAATAAAAAGTAAGTCTGTCTTACAACTCATTGAAGTAGAACTGTGATAATAAACTAACAACGCTAAATGGTTTCTAATGATCATGTGGTTTGGTTACTGACCATCCTACTGTGTCTAATAAACACCTAATTTATGTTACTTGGTTTTTTGTCGCACATAAGATTTTTGACAGCAATAATAATAGGATGTGATTAAATTATGCAGTGTAAAAACTTGTCCCATATGATTGTGTAGTATTTATTTACACAATAACAACACAAGGTTAAAATTGTATCTAGATAAAAATAAAGCTCTAAAAGCTACGTCTTTCAGACTACCTTAAGATAGAAGAAAATGGAGTAAAAAGCTCAATACTTTACTCAACAAAATAAAGTTTTCAAGATAAATTAGCAGTAAATTGACAGCCACCTAGCATGGCAGTTAGTGCCAGGCCAGACTACTGTACTAAATGTGGTTCAGGACTCGAATCCCGCCGGGGCCAAGATCTATTGCAAGGAGCCCAAGCATTTATGGTACCTACATTCGTGATTTATTTGTTTACCTACCTATTAATACTTCCCAGTTAATACGAGTATCTTTGATTTGTGCAAAATGTGTGTGTACTTATAACTTTCCAATAAAAATTATTTTCATCCCAACTAATATTATAAATGCGAAAGTAACTCTGTCTGTCTGTCTGTCTGTCTGTCTGTCTGTCTGTCTGTCTGTCTGTTACGCTTTCCCGCTTAAACCTCGCAACCGATTTTGATGAAATTTGGCATAGAGATAGTTTGAGTCCCGGGAAAGAACATAGGATAGTTTTTATCCCGGTTTTTGAAACAGGGACGCGCGCGATAAAGTTTTTCTGTGACAGACAAAATTCCACGCGGGCGAAGCCGCGGGTGGAAAGCTAGTCTATATATATAAAAGAAAGTCGTGTTAGTTACTTCGCTTATAACTCAAGAACGGCTGAACAGATTTAGCTGAAAATTGTCAGGGAGGTAGTTTAGAGCCAGGAGAAGGACATAGGATACTTTTTATCCCGTTAGAAATTAAAAAAAAAAGTCTGCTTATTTATTGCCATTAAGGCGGAACAAAGTTCGCCGGGTCAGCTAGTAGTACATAATTCTACGTTACTTAGTAGACTTTTGTTGAGGACTGCGGCAAAACTTCGCTTTCCCCATAATATTTTTCTTTTTCTTTTTACTTACCCCACCTGTGTTACGTTTTCTTTCTGTATTACTTACTCGATTCTAATAAAAATCTCTTATAATCTCAGGTCTGTATATGTTTATACATATGTGTAGTGTATTATCAAAACATAGCTGTTGTCACTAACCGGGATTAATAGTCGTGTATAAGGAAAATCCATTAAAATATATTTGAGGAAAATAGTTAAGATTATCATAATTATACTTCTAATACGAAGATCAATTAGCTGTGATTCGTTTTGACATTTATATTGATGTGGTTATCTTTTCGTGTGGCATTTTGTTATTGTAGTAACAAATTATTAATTAATTAACATTTATAAGGTAGAAGAAGGTACACGTGTAAAATCTTAAAACTGTCGTTTGTTGTGCTACTTTAAATTCAAAAATATATTTTACTGTTAACACGGCAATAAAAAAGTCAAGTTACCCTTTTTTTATTAGGTTTTACCGTTATTATTAGGTTTTCTTGATGCCTAAGAAAATGGTTTTTAGTTACTAAATTCACTATGAAATAAACTTTGATAAGATCATGTAGATTAGCAACATTTAGTGAATAATTAAAAAAGAGATTCCAGCCATTACCGGTATAAAATGATTTCGAGAATATTGTTAGTTCACTAAAGTTTGAATCAAAAGTTCCATGGAGGCTAATGGATTTTACCTCAAACAAACAAACGTATCGTTTGCATTAATTACAAAACGCATTTCGAAAATCTCAATAACAAGACTACCTACATTTTATTTATAATATTTAATTATCTTAACTGCAAAGTCCACCGTTATTGGTACGATAAAAATAAATATGCTTTAACAAAGCTTATTTGTGTAGTTCATTATTTGCACAAAAAACGTAACTGTTACTGTTAATGATACCTAAATTAATGAAAATAAAACACTTACGTCCATTGACATAGCACGCAACTGCAAGCAACGCAGATGCAAATATTAAAAGCTTCATTTTTGATGTTATTATCACAGTAACATTACACAAAACACAATAAACAAAACGTTTCCTTGACGCGTCGTCGGCGGTCGACGGCCGGCGGAGCTGTGGCGGTTGACCGTGAGTCAATAAGTTTGTAGGTAACCGCGAGACTGCCCAGGCGCATCTCGGAGGCAGGTCGGCCAGCGTTTGTGTCGGTCAACTGGGATATTTGGTTTTTAGAGATAGGTCTATGAGTAGGTGGTTGATTTACAGAATAATGGTGCGTTTCGTCGAGATAATGGACTCAAAATTTTATTTAGTTGGATCTTGGATGCTTATTCTCAAACAGAGCTGTAATAAAAAATAAAATGAGTTTATACTTATACAACGTGTTAATAGTCCAGTCAATAAAGCATTATAGATGGAAAACTGTAGAACACAATTTCTGACTTCAGGACTTTATTTAGACTAGTTAGGAGGTGAACATAGCAAAAGTCCCCGCCCTTAGCCCTTGAGCCGGCGGGGAGAGGGGGGTTTAAAGGTGCCACTTTTCGGTTTTTCGCTTAATCCTCGGAAACTATGTGTCCTAGTGACATGACTACTTTGAACCAAAAAAAGCATATTAAATTTGCTACAGATGAGATAGACAAGTTTTTCTATAAATTGTATGGTTTTCGCGGCATCTGCTCTAGAAGGTCTGTAATATTGGAAATTTTATTTTTGTCTTACATGTTCTCATCAGGAGAAAATCGACTAAATCAACATTGAGCAATCATTCTAGACATGCGGAAGCATGTTAAGCCTAGTTCCAGCGAGGGGACTACACCGTGCGTATATTTAGACGAATCACTTTGAGCCACTTTTGAGTCCTCATCACTCAAAAACTACTGTGCATTAACACTTTAAATTTGGCTCATGTGTTGAGACTTACAAGATATACATCAGTTTCAAATTTCATAAATCTGCCTCAAACGGTTCTTTAGATATTGACGTCCAAAAATCTACATGTCTGACCTATAGACCAAATTCTAACCACTTCCAGATGACCTCGAAGGTTCAAATTTGGCATCCAGAAAGGTAGTTATGTAAATACAAAGGAACAAATAAAAAACCAGTAAATTTTAACATTTCACATGTGATAGATAGATAGTAGTGCTCTAAATATCGATTTTTGAACGTCAATACCTAAATAACCGTTTGAGGTATATTTATGAAATTTGAAGCTGATTTACATCTTGCAAGTCTCAATACATGAGCCAAATTTGAAGTGTTAATGCACAGTAGTTTTTGAATGATGAGGATGAGGAGTCAAAAGTGGCTCTAACTGGTTCGTCTAAATATACGCACGGTGCAGTCCCCTCCATGGAACTAGGCTTAACATGCTCCCGCATGTCTATAGTGTTTGCTCAATGTTGATTTAGTCGATTTTCTCCTGAAAGGAACATGTAAGACAACAATAAAATTTCCAATTTTACAGACCTTCTAGAGCAGATGCCGCAAAAACTATACAAGATATAGAAAAACTTGACTGTCTCACCTGTAGCAAATTGAATAAGCTTTTTTTGGTTCATAGTAGTCATGTCACTAGGACGCATAGTTTCCGAGGATTAAGCGAAAAACCGAAAAGTGGAACCTTTAAACCCCCCTCTCCCCGCCGGCTCAAGGGCTAAGGGCGGGGACTTTTGCTATGTTCACCACCTAACTAGGCTAAATAAAGTCCCGAGGTCAGAAATTGTGTTCCATGGATTTCTCTCTACACCGTCGTTAAGGCATTCATTGACTGGACTATAATGAAAAAGCGCAAAACCTGAAATTAGTTTATTCGGAATCGAGAGTAGGAGTAACTAAAATTAGGGTTAAATTTTAACCAAAAAAAATTTTAATTACGTCGTGTTTAATCGTTACTTACAGAGGTGAATGAACTATCTACGTTAACTACTAACCTACTCATAGGCGTGCATGCCTTGCAATCAGCGTGTGAAAGGTCAATACGGTTCCTGAAATGCGTAAAAAGAGATAACAAGTGCGCGGGGCGACAACAAAAAGAGTAGAATTTCTTCGTAAATAATCCGCGAAAATTAATTTTAATAATTTACATAATTCTTTGATAATAAAAATAAATCGGGGTGTCTGAGGTTTTGCGCTTTTTCATTAACACGTTGTATTTCCGCTATGTTTATCCAGATGAGGTCACTGTTGGGCTGTTGGGAGAGTAAACTTTATAAATGAAGTGAACATTATTTTCATGAATTAAGTGCTTTATTTAAAATATTTAGTAATTGTTTGAAAATAAGGTCCACATTTTTATGAGGTTGCAATTCCAATGTATGTAATTAAACTTGAACATAATTGTACGGACTGTTCGTGAACATCGTGAAGTAATTTAATAAGGTTATTAACCTGTAAAGATAGTTTAAGTTGGTGAAAATAAATAAATAAATAAAAGTATTTCAATCTTACAGAAGTATAATTTACTAGCTGACCCGGCGAACTTCGTACCGCCTTAGCGTAGAGATTTTCTTTATATTTTTTTCCGTAAAAACCTTGTACAGAGTATTAGAAAACTACAAAAAAAAAATCAGCCAAATCGGTCAAGCCGTTTTCATGTTATGTCGTGACAACGGAAAACGGGTTTCATTTTTATATATACAGGGTGTTTCTTGTAAGGTGTCAAGCCGAAGGCAGGTGATAGGTGAGGACTAGACCTATCGATTTCACCCCCATGTATGTTCTACGATTTTTCATAGTTTAGAAGTTATTGTTAATTTTGTGATTTTTTCAAATTGTATGACCCAGTAGGCTTTAAATTTTTTTATCTTTTTTTTGGGTCGACTTTTCTCAGATTTCTTTTTTTTGACAGATTCCCTATTAATTGCAGATTTTTGAAAAAAATAATCAACTTCCTATCTTTGATGCAAGATACAAAATTTTTGCTAGAAACATAAAAAAATATGCTTTTAGCGGAACATCCTAAAATTTTCAACTTAAAAGTTATTTAATTTAAAGTAAATGTTCAAAATGTCCGCCGTTGACCTGAATGCACATTGGACAACGACGCAAAAAAATTCTTTGTAAAACCTTCTTCTTCATTTTAATTTGGTTTTGTGCTTCAGTCAGCTTTGTCCGCAGTTCATCAATATTTTCATATTCCCTATTGTATACCAGATGAAGGGCAAGAGCTTCCTCGTTGTGGATAATAAATGTTCTTTTCAGATATTGTCTTTAAATGTGTTCTACATAACGTAAACTTAAGGGTTTGCAAACATTACTTAGTCCTAAGAAAGTCAAAAACATGTAACGGAATCTCCAACTTGCCACTTGAGTGGAGCGATTACAGAAAATAATGGCCTATTAAGTACATGTTTTTTTGTGTTATTATGAAAGTTCAGAAAACTGCGCAGTTTTTTAAATTATTTTGGACCTATGGAATTACTTTTTTTTTTTAACTTTTAAGTTGAAAATTTTAGGATGTTCCGCTAAAAGCATATTTTTTTATGTTTCTAGCAAAAATGTTGTATCTTGCATCAAAGATAGGAAGTTGATTATTTTTTTCAAAAATCTGCAATTAATAGGGAATCTGTCAAAAAAAAGAAATCTGAGAAAAGTCGACCCAAAAAAAATATAAAAAAATTTAAAGCCTACTGGGTCGTACAATTTGAAAAAATCACAAAATTAACGATAACTTCTAAACTATGAAAAATCGTAGAACATACATGGGGGTGAAATCGATAGGTCTAGTCCTCACCTATCACCTGCTTTCGGCTTGACACCTTACAAGAAACACCCTGTATATAGATTAAGCATTTCCGTACATTTTGTTGTTCATCACAACTTTACAACAAGTAAACATTATCCGCTAAAACTCGGAACGGACAGTCGCCCTACTAAAATGACGTATCCTTTAAATGGTTCTTAACTGTTGTGAGTCAGGTCAGATTACATGTTTTCAAGAATAACATTACAATCACCATTAGTTTAATGCACAGACTATGTTTTTTGAATGGATTACCTTATATACTTTATCCATGGCTAAAGAGGTGTGTGCGTGTGTGCTTGTTAGTAAAGTAGATAGATATACATTTATAATAATATTTATTTGTATTATGTATAGTTTTCACCCTTTTTAGTTTCCGACTATTTTGTATTTGTATAGTTTGCTCGAACTTTAGGTAAATTACCTTCAACTTCCGTGTATTTTATGTTTCTCCGAGACATACCGTCATTTGCTTGAACGAAGCCGCGGTTATAAGATTTTTTTTGTTTATTGGTATTTATTTCCCTGCTATATCGAGTAACGGGTTGCTTGGGGATCCGTGCAGTATTTTCTCCCAATTCAAACTGTCTTTGCTTCAAAGATTTCGTAATAAAATACATTGATTCTTATTTTTACGATGACACCACGTAAAAATTTCATGCGTTTTACGAATTTAAAATTAGTGATATCAAATTCAAAAGTATTATAATTTAGAACAATATTATGAAAACAGGTTTTGAGTTAATCAGTCAATAACTGTTTATAAAGCATTTGATTAATATTATTTCACAAAAGGAAAAAGTATCTAAATATTTACTATTTTCTATTTCGATTACACAATTAACAACAATTTTAAAGGAAAATCATAAGAAAACACTGAGTCACACCGAGTGTGTTCTTTTTCCGGGGTTTACCTATTAGAATTAAATTACGATATCGCTTCGTCTTTCGCTTTATTTGCTGTTGTTCGAATATGTCACATGAATAAATTGTATGTTAATAACAAAGCCATTCCATTTTCATGTTGGAATACGAGTATTATTATTATTAAAAAACTTTCATCTTTTACTTAGTCCGGATTTATGTTTTATTAAAAATGAAAATTCACACAAATATGAACGGGCGATAGGTGGAGTAAATGATTTCTCAGGTGGAGTCTACCTAATCTAATCTAGCTAAATCAGGACATCAGTTCTTTCGTTCACAATAAAAAAAAATGAAACACAATACATAAGTTTCATTATTTTAATAATTCTTCTTCTTTGCCAGGCCCATTCCCATTTTATTTGGGGTCGGCCCTCCTAATCGTGCGACTCCAGGCGGTTAATAGCAGTTCTAAATGAACTAGGGCCGAAGCTGACCACGCCCACCAGCTCGTGCCGGGTCCCGGTGCTCAGCATCAGGGGGCCGCCGGAGTCGCCGTTGCAGGAGTAAGAAAGTAGATGACGTATCTACGTGTCCGTTCCATGCAGACAGTTACTATGCAGCTTGTCTTCTATCTAAAGAACAGATTCTTTCAGTCTTTTGTGGCTGAAGTAATAGGTTTCTTAATGCAGACCACTCGACAGCGATCTGATGGTAATAGACAAAAGAAAATTCGAAGCTCATAATACTTATTTATTTGTACATGACAAGTCTAAATGAACTAGGGCCGCAAGTGCCTCCGTATCCACGCGGAGTACGGATAGACGCTAGTGTAGACCCCGGGCAGGCCCTCCGTGCCGCAGTTCACGAGCCCGAAGCTGACCACGCCCACCAGCTCGTGCCGGGTCCCGGTGCTCAGCATCAGGGGGCCGCCGGAGTCGCCGTTGCAGGTGTCTTTCCCCGCCTCGCCGCCGGCGCAGAGCTGATAGCTCCAGAGTGTCGGTGGTTTGGATAGGCGCGAGGTGAAGCTCTTTTGACAATCCTGTGAAAAAGTTAGAAACACGGTATAGATCGTTTCATCCACGAAGACGCGCCCCACCAATTTTTGGTCGAGGGAAGCGCGGTGTGCTGGAGTTTGATCCGAGCAATCCGAGCGTTATGTGGGGTGCGTCTTCGTGGATGAAACGATCTATCTGTACTTTTAGCATCGGCGATCGGCGATTTTGCGACTATTCGATGCAGCCATCGCGATTTTGCGACTTTATGCGTTCGGATGCGGTATCGGTTTTAGACATTTTCGGTATCATTAAGGAATGAAAAACTAATAATTTTCGCTCCAAAATGCAATTAGAATACGACGCATGATCTTCTCAAGAATTGACAATCACGCATCAGCACATTAATCTACCTCAAAACATTGAGCTGTCATTTTGCGGTTAGCTATACTGTACTATCGGCCACAGTTCCAGCAACCCATTTTCGGCCAAGTCGTCTCGTTCTATCGCAAAGAATCACCATTTGATGACAGCGAGAGAAAAAAACGGAAATGGGTAGCTAGAACTGTGGCCAATATTACAAAGTTACATAGTTATCAGTAATAAAGATATTTTCATCATACCTCTGTCTTAATAATCGGTACTTTGAGGTCTTGCTTGATCGTACTCTTGGTGGTCATGTTCACCTTTCCCCATCCAGCTACGTACGCTTCCAGATCAGCTGGGTCTTGACTCGAGATGTCCGAGGCAGGCAGACATATTGGACGAATGAAGTCTGCGAAATTAAATTTAAATAGGTACATTTCATATTATATCATAAGTCATGCTTAGTTTTGGGCTATACTACGAGTAGGAAACTAGATTGGTTCCCCTGTCAAAATTATCAAATGATTGACACTGTTTATTAGCCACTGATACTTTTAACACGAAATGTTGTTGCAAGTATCATACAATCGTTTTGGAGTTAAGATTCAGCAGGTAATCCAATGGTTCTTTATTATTTTATTTGGCAAAAAAGTTGACTGTCGGCACTACTCCACTCACACACAAGAGTGTTGCCAAGAAGTGACGATCAAGTCTACTAGATGGCTGTAGTAGATAGGTATGAGCACGTATGAGGTTGAACTGGTTGATTTTATTTCTACAGAAACCAATTTTGACAAGCCGTGTAAAGCCTCTGTATTACAATATCAACCTACAGAATAGCTTAAGTGCCTTCACCACCATCATCATCATCATCATTTCAGCCTATTAGGACGTCCACTGCTGTATATAGACCTCTCTCAATGATTTCCATAATGACCGATCGATACTTAGCTGACCGCATCCAGCGCCTTCCTGCTACTTAAGCGCTTTAAGAAACTTGAAACTATTGGTAAATAGAATTAATAAAGTGATAAGCAGTTTACCTGTATAAGGTGCAGGACTAGCTAGCCTAATTAGAGCAATATCGTGCCGGCTGTTATCAGCATTGTACTCTGGGTGTGTGATGATGTCTTCGATGCCGATGGTGACGACCGGATCCGCGCAGTCGGAATCCACGCAGTCACGTTCAGAGCTGGTGTCGTACTCCCCTAGACGGACGTTTATACTGCAAAGTAATGTTAATGTTTTTTATTATCTCTTGGCAAAAATAGATGTATCACTATTTAGTGCAAGTTTACTAAGTAATTTGTGGTAATAGTATCTTACAATTTCGATTTCGGAATTATTTTGTATCTATGTCTAGTGCACAGTTGGCAATGTCCTGCAATCTGTGAAGGTTCAGGCAAATTAACGCGCGCAGCCTGCGTGCGCGATGGCGAGCAGAGGTGGAATTGTGTAATAAAGCAATCGTAATCATTTGACAGTTCATAACGTACGATTATTCTGTCAAACGCTTTGTTTAACTGACTTTATCGTACGTTATGAACTGTCAAATGATTACGATTGCTTTACACAACTCCATCTATGATGTCGTGTATGAATTTATAGCGATGAATTGACATCAACACGTCCTGTCATTGGTCGCGGCGATCTATGCAAGCGCAGTGATCGCCATCGCCGACGCGAGTTGCACGCGTTGGTTTGGCCGAAGCTTTAGCGTTGCATCCGTATTAACAAAGTTTAAGACTTTTAATTGTTTTTGAGATAAGAAAAGATCTTACGGTGGCCAAGCACCCTTCCCTTTGATACAATGGGCGGCGGTGACCACGTATCGGTTGCTGATGAGAGCTCCGCCGCAGTACGTCTTGATCAGGCCATTGTCCTTCCTTTTGTACTCGAGGAGCGCCATCCAAGGGTACTCGTCTATGGCAGTATCGTTACCACCTACAACAATCATTTCTTTGAGAATCTTGAGAATACCTGTTTAATTTTGAAATTATTTTTGTCATGGGACAGGCATGCAATCGCTATCAAGGTTATGGGATACTGAACTGTCTACTGTATAGGCCGTCTTCTACCAAAGTCCTGAAATTTCAGAACTTGTGACACTTTCCCTTAGGTCATGCCTTCAGCGATTAAGGTTTTAATACAATAAAAACGCATGATGTTCCAATTTAATTTTAAGTTCATGAAGGATGCAATCCTACTTGTAATATTATAAATGCGAAAGTTTGTATGCATGTCTGGATGTTTGTTACTCTTTCACGCAAAAACTACTAAGCGGATTTGGATGAAACTTTACAGTATCATTGTTTATAACCCAGAATAACATATAGGCTATAATTTATGACGATATGTGTCAAACTAAATTTCACGCGGGTGAAGCCGCGGACAAAAGCTAGTAAAGTGATAAATGATTGACTAAAATTGCTTCAGTTCATAAACTAGTAGCATAGAAGTGGCAGAAGGTTACACTCACCAAAAATCCTCGAGGCAGAGTTAGCATCTACACCGCAGCATGAGCTGTCGATGTGCGGCGGGAACGCCGTCGTCATGTCTGGACAGTCTGCGCTGGCCCTGGACAGCTCCTCCGCGGGGGGAGGGCCACAGCACACGGTGCGTTTGCCAGTCAGGCACCTGGAAGGTGACCCGGGAATACCACTCACTGAATAATCAGGAAGTCTCAAAAACGATTACCTATGACGTTATGGCATTTTTCATGGAGTTCTCGTAACAAATTCGTGGCTAACACGAGTTGTAAACCTTTTATTCTGACATAACTTTGGCAGCCTTTTTGTCATATAATGAACAACGAGAAAATCTTGTTCAGAGTAGTATAGATGCCCTCATTTAACGGAATGCAGCTGAATAAGAAGGACCCTGTATTAAAACCACTCACTGATTAATCAAGAAATCTCAGAAACTATAAAACCTACAAACTTTGGGCAGGTAGGTACCTTATAGGATGTAGACATCCACTAAGAACGGATTTTACGAAAGTCCACCCCGTACGCGTACTAAGTCGCGGACGACCGCTATAGAAATTAACACGATTTAGTCAAGGTACAGATGCCAGTATATTATAGACTAGCTTTCCGCCTGTGTCTTCGCCCGCGTGGACTACATTTTTTTTTTTTCAAAATAAAATGTAGCCTATGTTACTCGTGGATAATGTAGCTTTCGAATGGTGAAAGTGAGCTGTATTGTTATCGTTCGTTCACTCACTCACTCCGACGTGCGGCGGCGATCGCCAGTAATAAACGAGCTAACTCGCTAAACGGTCGTTTGATTGCTATTCCCTCTAACGCGTATATAACATCTGGCGACGGGTACCCTCAAGTGCAAAATAAAGTGAACATGTCGAGCTTAATTGGAAATATTAGCGTTTTTGACCACAAAATTCACGAGTGGTCAATATTTTATAGTCGGCTGTCTCAGTTTATCAAGCTAAATAAAATAGTGGAGGACAATAAGAGTGCGGTATTGCTGACACATCTTTCTGACGAGTCATACCGTTTAGCGCGGGATCTAGTACATCCGAAAGAGCTTGAAAAATTATCTTATCAAGATCTAACGAAAGCGTTGGAAGATCATTTCACACCAAAGAGGTCAACTTTTGCCGATAGGGCAAATTTTTACGAAGCATCGAGATTCGAAAATGAGAGTATCGAGGACTGGGCGGCACGTCTCAGAGGGCTAGCCGTATACTGCGAGTTTGGATCGGCGCTGGATACCTTATTGCGGGATCGCTTCGTATTGGGCCTGGGTGCGGGTATGGTTCGAGATCGCCTGTTCGAGCAAGACTCAGCTTCGCTAACGCTAGCCAGGGCGCTGGAGATAGCCCAGCAAGCCGAGTGTGCGAGGCGCGCGCGCAGCAGCGTCGGAGTGGAGCCGAGCATCAAGGAGGAGCCTGTGTACCGCGTGAGCGAGCGTCGGGGCTGCCAAGGACGACGTGGAGCGGCTGCGAGCGACAGCGATACGAGGTGCACGGTGTGTGGGCTGAAGAACCACGATGCGTCAAAGTGTCGTTATAAAAACTACAGGTGTCAAGTGTGTGGTGAAAAAGGGCATTTAAAGAAAGTGTGTAAAGTGCAGCGGGATGGAGTGTGGTAAGTCGGAGATTCCGTTACATGTTTTTGACTTTCTTAGCACTAACTAATGTTTGCAATTCTCTAAGTTTACGTTACGTAGAACACATTTAAAGACAATAACTGAACGGAACATTTTTTTATCCACAACGAGGAATCTCTTGCCATTCATTTGATGATCAGCGAGCTTCACTCGGAATCCTAAACCACAGAGGAATTGGCTGTTACCACTAGACCACAGTGGTGGTTGTTACTTTACGATTAAATTCGATATACCTACATATTATTAGAGTGTGAGAGAAAGGGAAAGAGTTTGTGTGTGTGTGTGTGTGTGTGTGTGTGTGTGTGTGTGTGTGTGTGTGTGTGTGTGTGTGTGTGTGTGTGTGTGTGAGAGAGAGAGAGAGAGAGAGAAGGGTGTAATGATTTAATTTAAAGTAAATGTTCAAAATGTCCGCCGTTGACCTGAATGCACATTCGACAACGACGCAAAAAAATTCTTTGTAAAACCTTCTTCTTCATTTTAATTTGGTTTTGTGCTTCAGTCAGCTTTGTCCGCAGTTCATCAATATTTACATATTCCCTATTGTATACCAGATGAAGGGCAAGAGCTTCCTCGTTGTGGATAAAAAAAAATTCTGTTCAGTTATTGTCTCTAAATGTGTTCTACATAACGTAAACTTAGGGGATTGCAAACATTAGTTAGTCCTAAGAAAGTCAAAAACATGTAACGGAATCTCCGACTTACCACTTTAGTGGAGCGATTACAGAAAATAATGGCCTATTAAGTACATGTTTTTTTGTGTTATTATGAAAGTTCAGAAAACTGCGCAGTTTTTTAAATTATTTTGGACCTATGGAATTACTTTTTTTTTTTAACTTTTAAGTTGAAAATTTTAGGATGTTCCGCTAAAAGCATATTTTTTTATGTTTCTAGCAAAAATGTTGTATCTTGCATCAAAGATAGGAAGTTGATTATTTTTTTCAAAAATCTGCAATTAATAGGGAATCTGTCAAAAAAAAGAAATCTGAGAAAAGTCGACCCAAAAAAAATATAAAAAAATTTAAAGCCTACTGGGTCGTACAATTTGAAAAAATCACAAAATTAACGATAACTTCTAAACTATGAAAAATCGTAGAACATACATGGGGGTGAAATCGATAGGTCTAGTCCTCACCTATCACCTGCTTTCGGCTTGACACCTTACAAGAAACACCCTGTATATAGATTAAGCATTTCCGTACATTTTGTTGTTCATCACAACTTTACAACAAGTAAACATTATCCGCTAAAACTCGGAACGGACAGTCGCCCTACTAAAATGACGTATCCTTTAAATGGTTCTTAACTGTTGTGAGTCAGGTCAGATTACATGTTTTCAAGAATAACATTACAATCACCATTAGTTTAATGCACAGACTATGTTTTTTGAATGGATTACCTTATATACTTTATCCATGGCTAAAGAGGTGTGTGCGTGTGTGCTTGTTAGTAAAGTAGATAGATATACATTTATAATAATATTTATTTGTATTATGTATAGTTTTCACCCTTTTTAGTTTCCGACTATTTTGTATTTGTATAGTTTGCTCGAACTTTAGGTAAATTACCTTCAACTTCCGTGTATTTTATGTTTCTCCGAGACATACCGTCATTTGCTTGAACGAAGCCGCGGTTATAAGATTTTTTTTGTTTATTGGTATTTATTTCCCTGCTATATCGAGTAACGGGTTGCTTGGGGATCCGTGCAGTATTTTCTCCCAATTCAAACTGTCTTTGCTTCAAAGATTTCGTAATAAAATACATTGATTCTTATTTTTACGATGACACCACGTAAAAATTTCATGCGTTTTACGAATTTAAAATTAGTGATATCAAATTCAAAAGTATTATAATTTAGAACAATATTATGAAAACAGGTTTTGAGTTAATCAGTCAATAACTGTTTATAAAGCATTTGATTAATATTATTTCACAAAAGGAAAAAGTATCTAAATATTTACTATTTTCTATTTCGATTACACAATTAACAACAATTTTAAAGGAAAATCATAAGAAAACACTGAGTCACACCGAGTGTGTTCTTTTTCCGGGGTTTACCTATTAGAATTAAATTACGATATCGCTTCGTCTTTCGCTTTATTTGCTGTTGTTCGAATATGTCACATGAATAAATTGTATGTTAATAACAAAGCCATTCCATTTTCATGTTGGAATACGAGTATTATTATTATTAAAAAACTTTCATCTTTTACTTAGTCCGGATTTATGTTTTATTAAAAATGAAAATTCACACAAATATGAACGGGCGATAGGTGGAGTAAATGATTTCTCAGGTGGAGTCTACCTAATCTAATCTAGCTAAATCAGGACATCAGTTCTTTCGTTCACAATAAAAAAAAATGAAACACAATACATAAGTTTCATTATTTTAATAATTCTTCTTCTTTGCCAGGCCCATTCCCATTTTATTTGGGGTCGGCCCTCCTAATCGTGCGACTCCAGGCGGTTAATAGCAGTTCTAAATGAACTAGGGCCGAAGCTGACCACGCCCACCAGCTCGTGCCGGGTCCCGGTGCTCAGCATCAGGGGGCCGCCGGAGTCGCCGTTGCAGGAGTAAGAAAGTAGATGACGTATCTACGTGTCCGTTCCATGCAGACAGTTACTATGCAGCTTGTCTTCTATCTAAAGAACAGATTCTTTCAGTCTTTTGTGGCTGAAGTAATAGGTTTCTTAATGCAGACCACTCGACAGCGATCTGATGGTAATAGACAAAAGAAAATTCGAAGCTCATAATACTTATTTATTTGTACATGACAAGTCTAAATGAACTAGGGCCGCAAGTGCCTCCGTATCCACGCGGAGTACGGATAGACGCTAGTGTAGACCCCGGGCAGGCCCTCCGTGCCGCAGTTCACGAGCCCGAAGCTGACCACGCCCACCAGCTCGTGCCGGGTCCCGGTGCTCAGCATCAGGGGGCCGCCGGAGTCGCCGTTGCAGGTGTCTTTCCCCGCCTCGCCGCCGGCGCAGAGCTGATAGCTCCAGAGTGTCGGTGGTTTGGATAGGCGCGAGGTGAAGCTCTTTTGACAATCCTGTGAAAAAGTTAGAAACACGGTATAGATCGTTTCATCCACGAAGACGCGCCCCACCAATTTTTGGTCGAGGGAAGCGCGGTGTGCTGGAGTTTGATCCGAGCAATCCGAGCGTTATGTGGGGTGCGTCTTCGTGGATGAAACGATCTATCTGTACTTTTAGCATCGGCGATCGGCGATTTTGCGACTATTCGATGCAGCCATCGCGATTTTGCGACTTTATGCGTTCGGATGCGGTATCGGTTTTAGACATTTTCGGTATCATTAAGGAATGAAAAACTAATAATTTTCGCTCCAAAATGCAATTAGAATACGACGCATGATCTTCTCAAGAATTGACAATCACGCATCAGCACATTAATCTACCTCAAAACATTGAGCTGTCATTTTGCGGTTAGCTATACTGTACTATCGGCCACAGTTCCAGCAACCCATTTTCGGCCAAGTCGTCTCGTTCTATCGCAAAGAATCACCATTTGATGACAGCGAGAGAAAAAAACGGAAATGGGTAGCTAGAACTGTGGCCAATATTACAAAGTTACATAGTTATCAGTAATAAAGATATTTTCATCATACCTCTGTCTTAATAATCGGTACTTTGAGGTCTTGCTTGATCGTACTCTTGGTGGTCATGTTCACCTTTCCCCATCCAGCTACGTACGCTTCCAGATCAGCTGGGTCTTGACTCGAGATGTCCGAGGCAGGCAGACATATTGGACGAATGAAGTCTGCGAAATTAAATTTAAATAGGTACATTTCATATTATATCATAAGTCATGCTTAGTTTTGGGCTATACTACGAGTAGGAAACTAGATTGGTTCCCCTGTCAAAATTATCAAATGATTGACACTGTTTATTAGCCACTGATACTTTTAACACGAAATGTTGTTGCAAGTATCATACAATCGTTTTGGAGTTAAGATTCAGCAGGTAATCCAATGGTTCTTTATTATTTTATTTGGCAAAAAAGTTGACTGTCGGCACTACTCCACTCACACACAAGAGTGTTGCCAAGAAGTGACGATCAAGTCTACTAGATGGCTGTAGTAGATAGGTATGAGCACGTATGAGGTTGAACTGGTTGATTTTATTTCTACAGAAACCAATTTTGACAAGCCGTGTAAAGCCTCTGTATTACAATATCAACCTACAGAATAGCTTAAGTGCCTTCACCACCATCATCATCATCATCATTTCAGCCTATTAGGACGTCCACTGCTGTATATAGACCTCTCTCAATGATTTCCATAATGACCGATCGATACTTAGCTGACCGCATCCAGCGCCTTCCTGCTACTTAAGCGCTTTAAGAAACTTGAAACTATTGGTAAATAGAATTAATAAAGTGATAAGCAGTTTACCTGTATAAGGTGCAGGACTAGCTAGCCTAATTAGAGCAATATCGTGCCGGCTGTTATCAGCATTGTACTCTGGGTGTGTGATGATGTCTTCGATGCCGATGGTGACGACCGGATCCGCGCAGTCGGAATCCACGCAGTCACGTTCAGAGCTGGTGTCGTACTCCCCTAGACGGACGTTTATACTGCAAAGTAATGTTAATGTTTTTTATTATCTCTTGGCAAAAATAGATGTATCACTATTTAGTGCAAGTTTACTAAGTAATTTGTGGTAATAGTATCTTACAATTTCGATTTCGGAATTATTTTGTATCTATGTCTAGTGCACAGTTGGCAATGTCCTGCAATCTGTGAAGGTTCAGGCAAATTAACGCGCGCAGCCTGCGTGCGCGATGGCGAGCAGAGGTGGAATTGTGTAATAAAGCAATCGTAATCATTTGACAGTTCATAACGTACGATTATTCTGTCAAACGCTTTGTTTAACTGACTTTATCGTACGTTATGAACTGTCAAATGATTACGATTGCTTTACACAACTCCATCTATGATGTCGTGTATGAATTTATAGCGATGAATTGACATCAACACGTCCTGTCATTGGTCGCGGCGATCTATGCAAGCGCAGTGATCGCCATCGCCGACGCGAGTTGCACGCGTTGGTTTGGCCGAAGCTTTAGCGTTGCATCCGTATTAACAAAGTTTAAGACTTTTAATTGTTTTTGAGATAAGAAAAGATCTTACGGTGGCCAAGCACCCTTCCCTTTGATACAATGGGCGGCGGTGACCACGTATCGGTTGCTGATGAGAGCTCCGCCGCAGTACGTCTTGATCAGGCCATTGTCCTTCCTTTTGTACTCGAGGAGCGCCATCCAAGGGTACTCGTCTATGGCAGTATCGTTACCACCTACAACAATCATTTCTTTGAGAATCTTGAGAATACCTGTTTAATTTTGAAATTATTTTTGTCATGGGACAGGCATGCAATCGCTATCAAGGTTATGGGATACTGAACTGTCTACTGTATAGGCCGTCTTCTACCAAAGTCCTGAAATTTCAGAACTTGTGACACTTTCCCTTAGGTCATGCCTTCAGCGATTAAGGTTTTAATACAATAAAAACGCATGATGTTCCAATTTAATTTTAAGTTCATGAAGGATGCAATCCTACTTGTAATATTATAAATGCGAAAGTTTGTATGCATGTCTGGATGTTTGTTACTCTTTCACGCAAAAACTACTAAGCGGATTTGGATGAAACTTTACAGTATCATTGTTTATAACCCAGAATAACATATAGGCTATAATTTATGACGATATGTGTCAAACTAAATTTCACGCGGGTGAAGCCGCGGACAAAAGCTAGTAAAGTGATAAATGATTGACTAAAATTGCTTCAGTTCATAAACTAGTAGCATAGAAGTGGCAGAAGGTTACACTCACCAAAAATCCTCGAGGCAGAGTTAGCATCTACACCGCAGCATGAGCTGTCGATGTGCGGCGGGAACGCCGTCGTCATGTCTGGACAGTCTGCGCTGGCCCTGGACAGCTCCTCCGCGGGGGGAGGGCCACAGCACACGGTGCGTTTGCCAGTCAGGCACCTGGAAGGTGACCCGGGAATACCACTCACTGAATAATCAGGAAGTCTCAAAAACGATTACCTATGACGTTATGGCATTTTTCATGGAGTTCTCGTAACAAATTCGTGGCTAACACGAGTTGTAAACCTTTTATTCTGACATAACTTTGGCAGCCTTTTTGTCATATAATGAACAACGAGAAAATCTTGTTCAGAGTAGTATAGATGCCCTCATTTAACGGAATGCAGCTGAATAAGAAGGACCCTGTATTAAAACCACTCACTGATTAATCAAGAAATCTCAGAAACTATAAAACCTACAAACTTTGGGCAGGTAGGTACCTTATAGGATGTAGACATCCACTAAGAACGGATTTTACGAAAGTCCACCCCGTACGCGTACTAAGTCGCGGACGACCGCTATAGAAATTAACACGATTTAGTCAAGGTACAGATGCCAGTATATTATAGACTAGCTTTCCGCCTGTGTCTTCGCCCGCGTGGACTACATTTTTTTTTTTTCAAAATAAAATGTAGCCTATGTTACTCGTGGATAATGTAGCTTTCGAATGGTGAAAGTGAGCTGTATTGTTATCGTTCGTTCACTCACTCACTCCGACGTGCGGCGGCGATCGCCAGTAATAAACGAGCTAACTCGCTAAACGGTCGTTTGATTGCTATTCCCTCTAACGCGTATATAACATCTGGCGACGGGTACCCTCAAGTGCAAAATAAAGTGAACATGTCGAGCTTAATTGGAAATATTAGCGTTTTTGACCACAAAATTCACGAGTGGTCAATATTTTATAGTCGGCTGTCTCAGTTTATCAAGCTAAATAAAATAGTGGAGGACAATAAGAGTGCGGTATTGCTGACACATCTTTCTGACGAGTCATACCGTTTAGCGCGGGATCTAGTACATCCGAAAGAGCTTGAAAAATTATCTTATCAAGATCTAACGAAAGCGTTGGAAGATCATTTCACACCAAAGAGGTCAACTTTTGCCGATAGGGCAAATTTTTACGAAGCATCGAGATTCGAAAATGAGAGTATCGAGGACTGGGCGGCACGTCTCAGAGGGCTAGCCGTATACTGCGAGTTTGGATCGGCGCTGGATACCTTATTGCGGGATCGCTTCGTATTGGGCCTGGGTGCGGGTATGGTTCGAGATCGCCTGTTCGAGCAAGACTCAGCTTCGCTAACGCTAGCCAGGGCGCTGGAGATAGCCCAGCAAGCCGAGTGTGCGAGGCGCGCGCGCAGCAGCGTCGGAGTGGAGCCGAGCATCAAGGAGGAGCCTGTGTACCGCGTGAGCGAGCGTCGGGGCTGCCAAGGACGACGTGGAGCGGCTGCGAGCGACAGCGATACGAGGTGCACGGTGTGTGGGCTGAAGAACCACGATGCGTCAAAGTGTCGTTATAAAAACTACAGGTGTCAAGTGTGTGGTGAAAAAGGGCATTTAAAGAAAGTGTGTAAAGTGCAGCGGGATGGAGTGAATCGGTTAAACAACATGAGCGTGGAACCGGATGCGGATGAACATAATTGTAAAGAATGTAAATTGTTTAATGCGAGGTACGTAGCCTATGATCCTATCAAACTAGACATATTAGTTGAAAACATCAATCTCACTATGGAATTGGACTCAGGTTCAGGTTCTAGTGTTATATCAGAAGACTTATATTTAAAAATGTTTACAAGATTTAATTTAAAACCATCAGATTTAAAAATGTGTTTTTACAATGGACATAAAATCACACCATTAGGCTATTTTATTGGCAAAGTCTCATATTTAAATCAATGTAATCATATTAAGTTTTATGTTATTAAAAACGGGGGCCCTGGACTATTGGGTCGTGACTTTATGTCTAAATTTAATATTTGTTTTACAACTTATAACAATAGTATTATTTGTCAACAACAACGTGAGGTACAGCAATTACTGAATGCATTTCCTGACGTTTGGAAGGATGAGTTAGGTTGCTTTAATAAATTTGAAATTGAATTACATTTAAAGGATGATGCACAGCCGAAGTTTTTTAAGCCACGCTCAATTCCATTCGCCCTTAAGGAAAAAGTTTATACAGAGTTGGATAGATTAGTAAAATTGGGAATATTAGTGCCTGTAACTTTTTCTGAATACGCTACACCTATAGTGCCTGTGCTTAAAGAAAATGGTAAAATAAAAATTGCCGGAGATTTTTCTTGCACACTAAATAAGGTTTTAAAAATAGATAAATACCCCTTACCCCGCATCGAAGAGGTTTTTGCAAAAATTAGTGGCGGTGAATTTTACTCTAAGTTAGATTTAAGTAACGCGTACAATCAATTTAGGATAAAAGAGTCATCACAACACTTAACTACAATTAATACGCCCAAGGGCCTATTCAAATATACGCGCCTAGTGTACGGACTCGCAAATGCTCCGGCAATTTTTCAGCGAACGATGGAGACATTGCTGTCAGGAATAGAAGGCGTAAGTTGTTGGCTTGATGACATATGTTGTACGGGTCCTACTCCTGAAATTCACTTGGCCAGGCTAACGGAAGTACTGAGAAGATTGCAGGACGCCGGGCTTAAGTTACAGAGGGATAAATGTTCTTTTTTCCAACCGAGTGTTACGTACCTAGGGTATGTTATCGACAAAAACGGTTTAAAAACATGCCCGAATAAAGTTGCAGCGATATTAGACGCACCCATCCCCACCAACGTGACTGAAGTTAAACGTTTTCTAGGCGTAGTTAATTATTACCGTAACTTTATTCCGAATGCATCGGCATTAATGCACCCGTTACATAAGTTACTACGGGAGGGCGCGCCGTGGCGCTGGACAGAGGCCGAGCAGGCCGCGCTGGACGCGGTGAAGCGCGAGCTGGCGTCGGAGCGGGTGCTGGCGGGCTTCGACCCGGCCGCGCCGCTCGTGCTGAGCGTGGACGCGGGCCCGGCCGGGCTCGGCGCGGTGCTGGCGCACGTCGACGCCGAGGGCCGCGAGCGCCCGATCGCGTTCGGCTCGCGATCCTTGTTGGCCAGCGAAAGAAATTATAGCCAAATACAGAAGGAGGCGACGGCTATTATATTTGGAGTTAAGCATTTCCACCAATATTTATATGGCCGCAGAGAACCGTTTATATTGAAAACGGATCACCGCCCCCTCCTTTCTATATTTGGTAAGAAAAATGGTATTTCAGTTACGGCTGCCTCCCGTTTACAACGTTATGCCATTATACTATCCGCATACAACTATAATGTACAATACGTGAGCAGTAAAAATAATTTAGTTGCAGATTTCTTTTCACGAGCCCCGCTGCCGTTATCTATTGATAACAACGTAAACAAGGAAGAGGACGCCCAATGTTTTCTCTTTCTAGACGTAGTCGCGGGCGCAAAACCGGTTTCATTTGACGAGATACAGCGGGCCACCGCGAGCGATAGCACCTTACAAACCGTCGTTAAGTATATGAATAGTGGCTGGCCGAGACGAATTAAATGCAATGACGTATCACCATATTTTAATTGCAAAGCTGATCTAGAATTAAATGATGGATGTTTATTTAGAGGTCATAGGATCGTAATACCGAGTAAGTTTCGCAGTCGGATGCTAGAAGAGTTACACTCGTCACATTTTGGCATAGTTAAAAGTAAAAGTAATGCGCGAAGCAGAATGTGGTGGCCGGGAATCGACGGCGATATCGAGTCGTGGGTGGGGGCGTGCGGCGTGTGCGCGGGACTGCGCGCCGCGCCGCCGCGCGCGCCGCCCGCGCCCTGGCCGCGCGCGCCCGGGCCTTGGCACCGCATTCATATTGATTACATGAGTATAAAACAATGCGTTTACTTAATAATCATAGATTCTTTTAGCAAATGGTTAGAATGCATTCAAATGAATTGCGGTACCTCGACTGGTATGCTTATTTCTAAGCTAAAATATATTTTTTCAAGATTCGGTATACCTAAAGTCATTGTGTCAGATAATGATATAAAAATTTGTTCCTTAGAATTTGAAATGTTTTGCAAAAGTAACGGTATTAAATATATAACTTCCCCGGTGTACCATCCTGCTAGTAACGGCCAAGCAGAAAACTCGGTCAAGACTTGTAAAAAAATGATAAAATGCATTTTGTCTGAAAACAATTTACCAAATTCTAAAGTTCAAGAAAAATTGGCGGGTTTTCTGTTTGACTATCGAAACACTATTCACTGCTCCACGGGGGCTACACCGGCCAAGTTGATGATGGGCCGTGATCTGCGCGGTCGCCTAGACTTAATACTACCTAACAAAGAAATTCATGATATGATCAGTACATGCACTGCTGATGAACAATTAAATAAAAGCAGATGTTTTGAATTAAATGAGACTGTTATGGCTAAATGGTTTGTTGCCCGAAAATCAGTATGGTCACCGGCTATTATAAAAAAAATTATTGGACAAAGATTGTTTGAAGTATATTTTAAAAATTACAATACTACATGTAAAAGACATTTAGATCAAATTATTAAAGTAAACAAAGGTAATTCCAACAATGTACAAAATAATAGTGAATGTAATACAGAAATAGCGACTGCAGGGTTGTCATCACCATTGCCGCAGCAGGAGCGACCGCTACCACCTTTGTTAACAGACATTGAAAGTTCAATTGACAAATCACTACGCGAAATTAATGACGTAGAAGTCACGAGTGAGCCGGGCGATGGCGATGAGATTTGGGCAGAAGCTAATGATGGTCTTTTAGAAATTGTTAATCGAGGGGAGGATGCGATTGATCGACCTACTGATCCTCCTGTCGAGAGCCAAGACTTAGAGGATGGCGAGGGAGATGGAGATGGAACAGTAGGGCGATCAACAGGCCCTGTATTAAGGCCTAGGACGAAGAAAATAGACTATAAGAAATTATTTTAATATAAGTTGTTTATTGTTAACAGAGTTTCAAAATAGAGAAGAAGGGATTGAGCTGTATTGTTATCGTTCGTTCACTCACTCACTCCGACGTGCGGCGGCGATCGCCAGTAATAAACGAGCTAACTCGCTAAACGGTCGTTTGATTGCTATTCCCTCTAACGCGTATATAACAGAAAGAATTTTTAAAAACGGTCCAGTAGTTTTTGAGCCTATTCATTACAACCAAACAAACAAACAAAGTTTTCCTCTTTATAATATTAGTGTAGATACAGCGTGGAATTTTGAATGCCACCTGAAGGGGTAGTATTCTTAATACTGTAGATAGAATATTTTTGAAAAGAAAGAGTATTCTAACATTTCCAAAAATTCAAGGAATGTTGACTAATATTTTCTGTCTACAGTTTTAAGAGTACTTTCCCTTCAGGTGCACTATTCCGAATCACTTTATTATGCTAGATCCTATATTACTTTATAGACTAAGTCATGATGACTGCTGTGAGTTTAGGCACACTACACTGTCGCTCACTTTATTCCTTACCTGGAGTTTCTTGCGTAAGCAATATCGTTTCTATTTGTAGATCTAACCATATCAGACAAATGTTTGCAATTATTTATTTCTTCGCACTTTCCCGGGTTGCCTTCTGGTGTGTAGCAGTTGTGATCGCAGCAAACCTGAAGTGTAAAGAAAATATCGAATTAAACTAACTAATAGCCAGAATAGATCAACAGACTAGAAGCCACGATAGCCGAACGGTGAAGGAGTCGCACTGGCCGACTCGTGATCCGGGGAACGCGGGTTCGGTCCCCACCGTCGTTCGACTATTGTGGTGAGCTCACTCGTGATACAAGCATATTTAGCTTAGTACGAGGGGCTAACGGGACTATTAGTAATTTAATTTGTGGAATAAAAAATTATTAAAATTATTGTGACGATCTTATAATGTGGAAAAATTCTACATCCATGTGTTAACATTTTCTCAGTTTCTTTGACCAGAAACCTGGGATTCAAAGCCATTCGCCATTTTGTTCGTTCGTTTCAGCCAAATGACGTCTACTGCTGGACAAAGGTCTCCCCCAAGGCTTTCCATAACGACCAGTCCTACGCTGCCCGCATCCAGGTTCTTCCCGCGATGTTCATCAGATCGTCGGTCCACCTAGTAGGAAGCCTAGTGGTTGCCGCCACTCGAGATCATATTCGCCATTTAGCGCACTCTTAAAAAGCCATCGCCCGCGATGCGGTCCACTAATTTTTTTTCTGATACAAAGTCTATTGTTGATCAAAAATATCTTATCAAACACATAAGCCTGACTTCTTAAAGGGACTTCTTTGTTCATAATAAGGCGGTTATAAATATGATATAAGCAATTCGACCAACCTTAGGCGTTTTCTTATCAAATCCGCAACCATACTTCTTCAGTTCCCCGATATTCCGCGTAGGGCTGGCGAGCATCGCCACCATGCTTGGGCAGTCGTGGTATCGGACGCACATACCTTCTTCTCCATTTGGTCTGGTGCAAGTTCCAAGAGAAGACTCTGTGATAGATAGTATCCCGTTAACAAAAGCACGGGACTATTCCCACCTCTAGTTCCCACCGCTGCAACTCCTGTGTAGCCAGGATCTTACAGCTTGACCGCCAATAAAAACCCAACCAGTGAAGGTCAAGTTTGTCCCGGGGGAAAGTTTAACTGCCATTGGACCCGCAACGAAATTCATCAGAAGAACATAGGAGTTCGAAGTTAGCATAAGCAGCAAAAGGTCGCTGGGCCTCAGACTAGGGATGTTGCGAATATTCGCATCCGCATCCGCATATGCGGAACATTCGCATTGATTTTGACATTCGCATCCGCATCCGCATAAATCGACGAGGATCTGATGCGGATGCGGATTTGTAGCAGGTCGCGACAAGAAAGAAAGGGGCAGTCCCGGCGAGTGGCGCGCGTCAACCGAATGTGTTGATTGACCAATAGGAAAGCAATGATTTTTGTTTTTGGACCTCAGTGAATCGGTGACGGTGGCGCGTCTTGCTATTGTTTTGTTGTAATTAGTGAGTAGTTGTGACAAGTGACAAGAACTGAAGCGTACGTTTGATTTTATTGTGGATTTTGTTAAGAACTGAACTAACTGTATTGTTTAACGTAATACGTAATACCTTCATTCGTATTACGAACCTTAAGTAAAGTTTTATTTACTATTTGGATAAGTGAACTATGCCAACACCTACGCAAAGTGAAATTTGGACGTATTTCAAACCTGTGGACAACGACCGGGAGAAATCGCAATGTAAAATATGTAACAAAACATATTCGCGAAAGGGCCGAACAACATCGTCATTAATAAATCAAAATCATTTGAAATCAATGCACGCTAAGGAGTTTGCTTTGTTTGAAAAAGCAAATAACGAAAAGCTACAGAAAATAAAAAATGATGCCGGTAAGTTATATTTTATGCAATATTTTTTTTGTTGAGTCGGGCGTTTATTATTGTCTGACATCGCTGATTTATCCTTATGATATTATAGTAGTTTTGGGTAATTATATAGGTAGTTATTTAAAAACTTGTAATTTCTTTAATAAGGGCCGTTCCTACGAGTTGCGTAAAACTGAATTTTGAATCCAAAATCTTAGATTTGTCATATGAACTAAAATTTAGCTAAAAGTGTAGTTTAAGACAGTTTTTCAAATTTAATTATTAAGTTATATAATAATTACTAAAAGTAATTCATTCTCTACTTTATTATTAAATAAAAAATGATAAATAAGGCTGTGTTTCTTTCTCTACTAAGCCAACACTTAAGTTTTTTGTACAGATCCGCATCCGCATCCGCGGATGTGAGCCTCTTAAAATCCGCATCCGCATCCGCATCCGCGGATGTGGAAAAAAGTGGATCCGCAACATCCCTACCTCAGACACACAGACACACACAGACTTTTAGTAGGCCAAGAGTTTGGTCGGGCAGTTAGTCAGTATGAACATGTATGGGAATGCGCACGTGTACATTACACCGATTTGGTATTGCTCGATTTCTCATACAAATTCGAAGTCGACTCAACTATCTATAAAATTTGTATGTAGTCTGCTAGGTGGCTAATGAATTGTGTGGCGTGACTTTGTTACAATAACTTGACAGAAAAATACAAATGACTCATTATTCTCTCCTTATTCACCATTTTCGGCCGTTTGGTGTAGTGGTTCAGAACGGACTACTATGCCGAGAGGTCCCGGGTTCGATTCCCGGCCGGGCAGAAATTGAAATGATGAATTTTAATTTCTGTGACGGGTCTGGGTGTTACTATGTATAATATGTATGTATTTAAAAAAAAAGTATATAAGTACTATATCCGTTAAGCTAGCACCCATAACACAAGCATTAAGTTGCTTACTTTGGGGTTAGCTGGCGCTGTGTGAAATTGTCCAAAGATTTATTTATTTATTTATTCACCCTTAAGCAGATTTACCTAGCTAAAAACCAGGATAGGAAGGCAGGCTACGATAACTTTTAACCCCATACAAAAATAAACAATCGCAAGTAACTACTAGACGTTATCTCAAGCATGAGATAAACCCAGCTGGGTTTACCAGCGTACATTTAATGTGTGGTATGTAGTATATTTTCCTTCCGCAAAAATATTAAATAGTCAATTATACATTTAGTGACAAGCCCTGTATTACGCACGGGCACAGAATAATGGCACGGGTATTTATTGCACAGAAACTTAAGTAATATAGCATGATTGTCATTAAAATCTTTATTCTGACGTCACATACTTAATCAATACTATAGTTCTAGCACATAACGTGCCTGAGGTATGGGATAATGAGAGCGACGCCGGAGGGTGTTTTTGTAGAAGTCAAACGTCAGCAAGACTTCAGCTTTGTTGCTCTGCCACGTCATAATGTGTCAATCCCAGCCCTCTCGTGCTGCTCCCATACCCGAGGCACTCAGTTAAGCGCTAGATCTACTAAAAGTACAGATCTTCCGAAACCATGGATTTGTCAGCATGGGAAATGGGATACCACGCATATAGCGTCCGAGCAGCAGCTATCTGGAGGAGGAATGGAACAGAGTGTGGCGACGCCACTACAAATTAGTGACCAACAGATGGCGCTGTTACTACTTCACTATGGCACACTCCGCCGCTCATACAAACCTGCATCGCGGTGACGGAGTTTTATATCCTGCCAAGTATATATAGACAAACCAAGATAGTGTAAATCGGACCTTGGTCCTTCCTTATTGTGGTTGAGCATCATATCCCACAAGAGCTTAGAAATGATATTTAATGTTTATATTATTTACTATGTTGCAAACAACTTTACTGCTGTCTATTATTATAAGTTATGGCCCAGCCTATCATATCATAGGAACCGGAAAGTATGAACAGGATAAAGGTGTTGATTATGCGCCAAGTTTCATATCGCATTCGAATATCCCGTTTGCGTAAGTATTAGGTGTTAAAGATCATTTGCAATAGCAATGTAAATGTTTATAGATAGTGATTCAAGAGGAAGGGTTTAAAGTGTAATACATGCATATCAGAATTACACCCGTGCGAAGCCGGGGCGGGTCGCTAGTACTATAAAAGTCTAATTCCCAAAAATATTTCTTCAACTATCAAACCTTTCCGTTTTCCATCCAAGGTGTGTGTCTTCATGATCTGGTATTTTTAGCTATATTTCTTTGCGGACTATCAGATTAATTGAAGCATGGAGGTCAACAAAGGAAAAAACATAGTCAGTCTGGTAATTTAGACTCTAATTTTCAGGGTACTTAGGCACAAGAGTAAAGAAACTACTTTGTGACTAAACAAGTAGGTCTTAAAGTTTTACCTCAGATCATAGAAAGAGAATAGATATGAAGTCGCGCGTAACTACAACGAGAACCAGTGTCCCCACATTTCCCCCACCACAGCTCCCACACACACATTCAACTGTGTAAAAACAAAGCGACTGAGAGTCTACGACAACATGTGCAACCGGCTTAAAAGTGCTGTGATTGGCCAGAAGGCGTGCCTTATGGCCAATCAATGGCCGCGTGACGTGACGCACACTTTGAAAAAAGCAATTAGAGAGAAGAAAGATAAAATGGAGTCGATAAGATATCGATACTTTAAATCCTGGGGGCAAGGCTCGAAATTGGTTTAAAAAATGCTTGTATGAAAACCTTTTTATTATTATACGTTATGTTTATGTTCTTTAACGATTTTTGCATAAAGGAGTCAGTTCCATTTTGTATGGACGAAAAACTCAGAATCAATTATTGGGACTAAATGAAGTTACCTTATATTAATTTACCCCAACCAAAGCTCAATGTCGTTATCGATGGAGTATAGAAGTTATAGACTGACAAAGTTTGTATGAAAAGTCATGGGTTAAGTAGGTACTTGCGATTTTTACCAGTATTTACAATATTGGTAATATATTATTATTTACTTTAATAATAATAACAGGATCACTGTAATTATTATTAACTACTATCGCGCATTAACTTTTTAATTATGGCGAAATTCGTACCGCCTATGTTTATCAAAAATAATGCCTATATTAGGCTTTCAACTAGCTCTTATAGTAATTACATAGTTGACAGTTACTAATCCCTTCTACTATTGTTATTGTTTTTGTAAAAACTTAAAAATCGCAAGCAACTCATGATTTTTTCATTCAAAATTAGAAAATAGAAAATAATAATTTACTTCTATTTATCGATAATAGGAAACCGTATTAGAACACGAGCCCTGCACTATGTTACGACCGGCACATGCGGCCGTACTGTGTATTTTCACGCGTCAGTGGATATCGGAAGAAATAAAATACATTGCGCAGTAGTTACGCATGACATAAAGTGGTTGCTAACTAAATCGTCAATGTACAACGTGTTTGAATTTTTATCACCACTAATTTCGATATCGCAGTAAATGTCACGGCACTGAATTCGTTCGTAAAAATGTTTAGTTTTTTTTATTTATAAGCAAAATACCAATGGATTTGCAATACTTACATGTGGTAAATGACTTCATTGTTCCTGTAGTTCTTCGTTTCACTTATGTTATTGCACGTTACGACGCATTATCCAACAATATCGGAGAACATTTCCTCAGTACGACTGAATCGCGACTAACCTGGCGTCGCGGCCGATGTTCGTTTCTGGGCATATCGCGGAGACACGCGCCACGCCCCCGTTTCACATCTATTCCCTTCTATGATCTGAGAGTTTTACTAATTAAGATCAATAATTATCTCTTTGACATTGCCAGTCTTATCTGTATCAATAAATACACATAGCTACGAGTATGTAAACACAGTAAAGTTATCTTAAAAGAAAGTGTTCTGTTGTAATTATGAGTAAAAATAATGCAAAAAAATACTCACGTCCATGAACGATGAAAACAGCTGACGCTAACACACCAACAAAAATATAAGTATTCATTATTATTAAATATCTCCTACAGTCCGATTCCCGTCTGCGTTTCACTGCAGCACAACAAGGAATGACCACTTATACAATTAATCATCATAATATTCAAGCAGTATTTGCATAGTAGGTATGTTGTAGTGGGTTTTCCTACTTCATTAAGTGATAAGTTTGTAATGTATAAATTGTTTGGAATCAGTAAAAAATTTTGAAAAAAACCCTAATACTATAATGACTAAGATTTTTTCCGGCACTCCAACGAAAAAATTTGAAAATTCACCAAAACACTAAGATTGAGTTTGTCCCAGTAGTATTTTCTCATCATTTGGTAGGAGGTAGGAAGCCATAGTTCCTTTGTAATTGAAGTTCCCTTCCACCTTCAGCCTAATCATCAGTTTCCACCAGGTGTGATGAAGGACAAGAGCTTCCTCGTTGAGAATAAAAACATGTTCTGTCCAGTTACTGCTCTAAATCAGTTCTACGTAATGTAAACTTAGAGGATTCCCAATATTAATTCACTCTAAGAAAGTCAAAAACATGTGACGGAATCACCGACTTACTACTTAAGTGGACCGATTACAGGAAATAGTGGCCCATTAAGTACATGTTTTTTTGTGTTATTATGAATGTTCAGGAAACGGCGCAGTTTTTAAAATGGTTTTGGATCTATGGAAGTTCTTTTTTTTACTTAAACTTTTAAGTTGAAAATTTGATAGTGTTCTGATAAAAGCATAATTTTAATGTTTCTAGCAAAACTTTTGTATCTTGAATCAAAGATAGGAAGATGATTATTTTTTTCAAACATCTTCAATTAATAACGAATCTGTCGAAAAAAAGAAATTTGAAAAAAGTCAACCCAAAAAAAAGATAAAAATGTTTAAAGCCTACTAGGTCATCAAATTTTAAAATATCACAAAATTAACTCTATCTCCTAAACTAAGCACAATCGTATGATACATATGGGGGTGATTTAGGTACACCTTGATGTAAGGAATCTAAATTTTTCTTTTAGACCTCACTGTTTTGGCCACCCTGTATATGATGAACTCAAAGCGCTTCTAGGGTATAATGAATAAAGAGGCGTGTAACACGCTCTTTCTTTTTAAATTCAACAGGATAATAAAATATAATGTTTATTTGCTAATTTTTTATTTACCTCTATTCCATTACATATTCACGAAGAATACAGGTCAAATTAGAATGGAACATTACGGGTATATATTCCGCCTTATCCACATTGTGTATGAGTGTATGTTTGTGTACACCCCGGGCACTCCCGCTGTCCCGCAGTAGTCGATCCCAAAGCTCACTAACCCGACCAGCTCGTGTAGCAGACCATCAGATGTCAACATCAGCGGGCCCCCTGAGTCTCCCTTGCACGCGTCCTTTCCAGGTTCCCCACCGGCGCAAATCTGATGCTTCCAGATACGAAGCGGGTTAAGCGTGCGGTTCACGGCATTTTGGCAGTCCTGTAATGTGAAATGTTTTAGCCATCAACGCTTTATCTGACGATAACGATTTAAGACCCATATTCACAAACTAAAGTCGCTGACATAGCCCGACGGATTAGCAAGCTGAAGAAGCAATGGGCAGGGCACATAGTATGCAGAACTGACGGCCGATGGGGCGGCAAGGTTCTGGAGTGGAGGCCGCGTACCGGAAAACGCAGCGTGGGACGTCCACCCACAAGGTGGACCGACGACATCATAAAGGTAGCAAAAAAGCGCTGGACGCAAGCCGCTACCAACCGGGTAACATGGAAAGCATTGGGGGAGGCCTATGTTCAGCAGTGGACGTCCTATGGCTGGTTCGTGTGTGTCACTCCGCCACTCAAGTATTGTCTATGAACAGGTTTTTGGGACAATTTGCGTCCACGCGCACTGTAAGACCTCATTGTAATTTTTGTGAATACGGGTGTTTATCTCTTCAGGAAGAAGGATAAATCCTATATTAGGGACAGTGTAGACTTCTGGTGTTCTGAGGGCTTAGTGTGAGTTTCAAACGTCCTCACTAGTGAGTGCGTTAAGGCTTGGTATTTCTGCTAAAGTAGGTATTTCGCGCTGTCAAAATCTGCGCGCGCAATACTTCGCCGAAGACAGCGCGCCAAAGAGCTCTCGCGGCTACACAGTATAAAAATACGCAGTTGGTTAGGTTAGGTTGACTTCCTTCCATTCAAGCGTCACACTCACAGCACTTTCTAATACAAATCAAAATATCCAAGTGATACAAATTAAAACAACTTTCAGAATTTTTGGTAATATATTTTAGAATCGAATAAATATAAAATATAACTGCCAAAGTAAACACGGTTCAAAGAGGCGTGGCGTCACCCAACCTTCCGGAAGTTCCACGCCGGCCAAAAGAATTTCAAGATTACGTCACCCGACCTATCGGTAGGTCCTCGGGAGCTTGAGCGATTGGAAAAACATTTTATGATCAGTTACTCGTAGTAGCGATTATTTAGAGCTTGGATAATAAATTATAGTTGTTGCAATTCACGAAACTTTGCATGTGGTTAATTACATTAATCAGTACACGCATCAATTTTGTTCAGTCTTTTTGTTTATTAATAAATAAAAATATCATACTAAAATTGCATACATATTTGTTTGTATTGGTCTGGGTTTCCATAATTTATGTATAACGTATGTACGGGTCTCTGTATCGAAAATCACTATGAGCATCACACGCGGTTACCTGCCGCAGGCACCCGCTCTGAGCACTCATGGGAGTTTATGCAGAGGTCGCTAGAGTTTGACTTTGAGCTTTGTTTATAGTCATTACGAAGCAGATTTTGATGGGAAACTGAACTGTCTTGAATTCGAAAGGGTAATTTGACGGTGTTAGGGGAATTCTAGGAATAAATGCAGAGCCTCCTCATTGAGATTGAGACATTTCGATTTGAGATTTCACTTGACATTGATTGCAATCTGACATGGAGTTTTCAAACACTTGTAAAAATAAAAAGTAATTAAATCAAAAGCAGTAAGTATCTTGTATTGATATCAACTTCGAAGCAAAAGACTCCCAAAATAACTTTCTACCCCTTTTACACGTTTGTCATGAATTACAATATTAAGGAATTGTTAAGCAAAATTTCAAGTAGATTGAACCAAAGAATCACTTTGTCCCATACAAACTTTGCCCCCTTTTTTCACCCCTTTTCATTTCATGACCCCATTTCAGAAAATCGGATGCCTACGTCATACAAAGAACACACCTTCCAACTTTCAGGTATCTACGATATCCGTCAGTCATTTAGGACAAAGCATTTTTATTAGTTGTCCAATACTTTATCGTTCCAGGTATGTCATTGACAGGAGGGCGCTACTATCTTAATGGGTTATTTATTAGTCCCAACTTTATGCCACTTGACATTTCAGAATCGTTTGACTTTAGATACCTAAGCGATTTGATATTCAGATTCTTTTAATGAAATCAAGTTCTAAAATAACTTGAGGTGTTGTACCCGATCAAGCTTTTCATTGCAGGACAGTTAAATAGTTTTATTATTAGTTTCTTCTTAAGTCTTGATTTGTCAGAGTAGGTAAAGGCTCCAGAGCAAAATTTAGCTTTATGATAGTTTTTAATTTTTTTCTTGAAATATTTGACGCCTTGTAATCTCTCGTTAATATAGGTCCACACAAATAAAGAATGTTTGACTTCGACTTTAATAATTATGCTCTTACATAATTATAAATAAACTAGCTTTCCGCCCGCAGCTTCGCCCGCGTAGAATTTTTCGGTTTTTATATAACCTATTACACTCAGATATAATGTGGCTTTCTATTGGTGAAAGATTTTTTAAAATCGGTTCAGCAGATCCCGAGATTATCCCTTACAATTTAACAAATATACAAACACACAAACTTTACCTCTATATAAATTAGATAAAGATAGGTAATTTGAAACCCTATTTTGTTTTATTCTTTTTTTATTTTAAATATTTCACAATCCAAACTAATATTTACTGTATGAAAATGCTAAATAGTAAATATTAGTTTGGATTGTTTAATATCCTATGCTACTAATCCTACTAATATTATATAAAGGCGAAAGTTTGGATGTCATGATGTCTGGATGTCTGGATGTTTGTTACTCTTTCACGCAAAAACTACTGAACGGATTTTGTTGAAACTTTACAGTATTATTGTTTATAACCCAGATGAACATATAGGCTAACTTATGACGATATGTGACAAATAAATTTCAATAAATAAATAAGACGTGCAAAAAGCGCCATCTACCTATCGTCATTGGTTAAAATCTACAGCGCTTGACAAACTACTGTATGACGTTCGTAAATATTCATTCAGGGGAGCCGTGAAACGCCATCTATCAACATGATATCTAACGGGGGTAAAACGAGGTCCACGCGAACGAAGTCGCGGGCGGCCGCTAGTTTATAATAGGTAGCTTTCCCTCCGCAACCTTATTGGTATTCCATGTATGTGTCTTTTAACTGATTTCTGTTAAACATTTCATGTAAAATTTTTCCAGTTATAACTCCATTTACATCTGCATCTGTAAGCTAGGGTTCATGTTCTCCAGCCCAGGTGCCGAGTAAACAGAATCGTCTTTCAGTGACGTGCAGCTGCCCCTATATTTGACCCACTGACCTAATTTTTTATTATTTATTTGTATCAGTGTGCTCTTCTAATAGGTGTAAGACGATTGTATGTAGGTACTATTAATATGTAATTTTAACTCATTGGTTTTGTCTCCTATTTAAGGAATTTACTATGTATCATGAGTAGAGTATTTTTATTTTATGAATTTTAATTTTTAGTCTTCGTTTAAAAGGATGCGAACGATTTAAATTTCAATAGGTAGACAAAATTGATGATTC